TACAACTCTAATCTACCTTCAAGGTCAATTAATAGATATAAATGTTAATAAGATTTTTACAATAAGTAATACTTCTGCGTATAAAATTTAATACCTACATCTACTTGTCAATATAGTTAATTTTCTACACATTAACCATAACTGCCTAGTAATTAAGAAGAAATCCATGCTGATCCAGAGAAATAACTGAATTTATGAACAGATTTAGGTAGACCACGCGATCAACTTGAATTTCGATAACTGCAATTACTTAATAGTTTCTTAAATGTAGAAGGATTATTATGATAAATGAAAACATTTATTTAAAAAAAAATAAAAATGGTTGTTCAAAAATGCGTGGACCAACAATAATTAGTAAATATCTATACAGGCTATTTTACGGTGACGGTGACGGTGACGGCCCATTAGAATATTACAGACTACTTCGATTTGAATTTTGAATACTTAGGCTCTGGGGTTTTCGGGGGTGACAGTGGTAGGTACTTCGTTAAATTCTGATTTGAAAATAATCTTAATGTCTTTCTGCTTATTAGTAGTAAATTGGGAAATCTCATTAAAAATTCTTCAAGTTCTATTTATAATCAAAATATCAGCATTTGAATACGGTTTTTTTAATCAATATTTAACTACCACTGTCAGACTAACAGCATATTATGATGACTTATGACATATTGGTTGTTTTGTTTTTATGTTTGCTAGCAATTTCATTTTCCCAAGAAATTGGATCATTTTCATTACCTACTTATAACAAAAACCATCCATAACAAAAAAAGAAATTAAAAGACATGGCACATGGAAGTGTAATATGGATAGAGATAGTAAAATTCTACTACAGATTTTGATTAAATGTACATTTTGGTATAATTATAGGGGTTGTTCCATTCAGATTCGAAGTTAAGCAAATACGACAATAAATTTTCAACATCCTGTGTAAAATTAAACAGTTTTTAAAGTAACTGTAATAAATGGCAATAGACATCCCTCTATTTCTCTCCCAAATATCAATACTTCAGCTTGCACGATTGGAAAAAACATGCAATTTTGAATTAAGCTATCGAAAAGCAACTTTTTTTGATAGAATTGAAATATCTCGAAGACCATTGGAAATAGATATAGCGAAGCTTGATAAAAGTCCCTCTAAAATTACGAGTAGAATTCAAATATGCAATATCGAGGGTGTTCCATTTAAAATAAGCAAGTAGATGGCAACTTCCGGTATAACAATGACATTATTTTATTAAAAGAGAGCGGCCCCGAAAACTCCGAAAATTTTATCATAATTAAAAGTAGGTATAAATATTGACTATAAAAAAATTATCATGTTCAGTTTGAAGAAAAGAAATAATTTTAACAAAATGTTAATGTTTTATCAACTCAAAAGTCTAACAGAATTCAGACTCAACATAAAAATTAAGAAATTTATATTTTATAAGTATTCTTCCCGAAACCGATGAAACAGTTGAAAGAAATTTTTACTCAACTATGAATGTGAACTGATGAAGTAATTAAATTTAATAATTGAGTTTTAAAATTCTATTGGAAAAACAATGGAAATACGTGTTCCATTGAGATTTTCATCAACGTCCTTAATAATAATAATAATAATAATAATAATAATAAATCATTATTAATTTAGATGAACATTATTTTGGGCATTTTCCTTTTTACATTCGATGTTTCAGTTTAACATGGTTATTCTTCATTAGGGTTGCCAATCGTTCTGAATTTCGGTAGACGTCCACCATTTCAGCAAATTTTTCATCGAATATTCTGCGTCCTGACAAAACTTATAAAAAAACGTCAAATGTCCCTAATTTGTATAATTTTCCAAAATATACGATACACAATCCGGCAATCGTGTCCTGACTAACAATAAAACTTCTGGATTACGTACATTTTAATATTTACATTTTTAATTGATCTCAACTTAAACAAAGAATGTATTTTTCTTGATTATAAAAAATCTCGGTTGGATGTTCTCAAATACCATTTAATTTTAAGTAAAAAAATAGTCAGGAATGTATTTGAATTCGTGTCTTAAATTTGATTATTTGTTTAATTTTAGACAAAACACAACATAACGAGAGGAAATAGTTTTTTCCATGTTAGCGGCGAGCAAGACAAGTTCACAAACTAAAAAAAAAGTATGTCATCTCGAAATGGAATTTTTTTTACTCATATTTCAGAGGGCGACTCCTCAAATTATTTTACGAAAAGAAGTTCATACTAACATAATATCCAAACTAAAAATATTTCCTTTTCAAAACACATGACGTCTATTTTTTTATTTTGTTTTTTAAATAACCGAATATCGGAAATATCTTAAATCGAGCATAAAAAAATGTCTTGGCAATTTTTCATTTGGAACTTAGTTCTGCAGAAAAAATGCTTTCTTATTAAAAATAACACAATAACGTGCACTCAATAATAACAAATCTTTATTGTATACCTATTTGAAAATATTGTTGAACATAAAACGGCAATTGTTTATTTTTCAATTCTTTTACATCTTAGTCAGGTAATGAAAGAGGATTACAAGAAATATCAGTGGCGTGCATATTATACACATATTAAAATAATTGAATATCAACCATACGCACACACCTGTTGAGGTGATTACATTTTAGTTTACAGTAAAACATGCGTTCTAGTAATTAGTTTAATAGTTCAAAGTTTAAGAAAAAGAAAACATACCCTATATTTAAAACTAGACGAAAAAAAAAATAATTATCAATTCCCTGCAATTTGGAAAGGCTGCGTTTTTGGAAATGTGTAAACATAAATATTTTGTTTTCTTAAAATAATTTGCAAGAATCTGAAATATTAAATCTACTTAATCAAAATTTCTGCTTAGAGATGAAAAAGGCATTTTTGGCTGAAGTAAGGAAAAATATCAATTTCGTGTTGACTAACCCGTGAGAAAAATTCTCTTTTGCATATATAAATAGAAAAAATATATTTAATTGAAGTGTATATTTTACATCAACAACACTTGAATACACAATGACCAAAACCGGCTACTCTGATTATCATTGGAATTTTATTTACTAATTTTGCATAATATATACACATTTAATATAAAATTCTATCACATCTAAAGAGTATATCTATAATTTTAAAAATAAACCTATGTGGGTCTTTGTTGTACTTACAATATTTTTTACTTGAATTGGACAATCAACAGAATGTAAAAAAACATTTATTTTTATTTTTTGCTAATTAAAGTTAGCGTAGGTATTGAACAATGTTTCGGTATGATAGTAATCGTACCTATATTTACTGCAGGATACGCAAATGTTAGGATTGTTAGTGAAAACTTTAGCCAACATGTTCTTGAACACTGTCAGCGACAGAGTTAGTTAATATTGTTCGTGACAATGTGGGCGTGGTATATTCCCAATTTTATTAGCGAACAGTGCTATTAAAGTTATAAATATGTTAGGAAAGATTCAAATTTTGCTAACATTGCTCGTAAACATTGTTAACGAAGCAGCTTAATATACTCACTTTCATAATTACTCAAGTTTTACACAGAAATAACAGAATAGAGGTAGGGAGCGAAGGGGTGACAATTCATGCACTCACTTATATGTACACGTGACATAAATAATTTTTTTAATACTTAAACAGGTATTATGGAAGTATTCCTCAAATTCCAACTTAGTATTACTCAAATATTAGTAATATACTCAAATTTGTACACCAAATTACTGCAGCAGCAGTTGCCACTGTCAGTAGGGTTGCCAAATTTTATATTGTTGTTTTAAGGAGAAACAGCTGAAAATTCAGGATAAGGGCAAAAAATAAGAATATTTTTATTTATATTACGAATCAACCAAAACTATACCTATATTTTTAATAAAAGAAAAAATATATACTTTCTACCACAAAATAGGCAATCAATTTGAAACAATACAAATAAAAGAATAAAAACGTTAAAATTAAATTAAATTAAAAATAATAAACGTTGTTTAGGTTGAGGATTAACTAAAAATGTACATAATGCAGTCTTAGTCCGAATGCGATTGCCGGATTGTGTGTCTAGTATTTTTTGGAAAAATATATTGTAAAATTAAAGACATTTGGCCCTCGAGTATATTATATAAACTGCATAAAAAAACAATGTTTTGGCAAAATCATTGATTGCTGCAAGTATTGACAGGATGCAGGGCATTTGACGAAAAATTCGCTGAAATGGTAGACGTCCACCGAAATTCAGGACGGTTGGCAACCCTACCTCTCCGAACTGTCATAGAACTGTGTCCTTTTCTTATTATTTAAGTTCCTCACAAAGGTTTTGCGCATGTAGATTAAAGTAAAATACAGCTAATGCTATGTTGAGTTTAGATTACTAATCTTCAAATTAGTACCTAAGAGCCATTAAAAATATATAAGTAAATCGTTTAAAATTATTATTCAAGCAAATCCTTATTTCATTTAGATCTTTGTCTTCCCATTCTTATACCTAAATAAAAATATGTAGGTAGGTAGGTACTCTAGATAACAGATTAATTTGAAACACTAAGTCAGCAGTATTAGAGATTTTAATTACAAACTTTAGGTGCCTACCTAATTGAAAGATTGTAAAGAGCATACTTCATAAGCATCTAGAAATAAATATAAATAAATATAAATAAAAATGTATTTTTGATTACTTTTCTTCAATCATTAATGCAAAATGCATTTTGATTGGTATAATAGGTATTCTACATTAGTAAACAGAGTACCTACCTATATGGATCTGAAACTTTTGTTCCATAATATGTATTAGATTTAGATACCAATCATCATTTTAATTATACAAAAACGCCTTTACTGAATATTTTTCGTGAGAAGGTAATCGATCGCAAATCATTAAATTGTACCAAAAAAATGAAATACAACATGCAACAGGTGAGCGAACTGTGGCCAAATGAATAATTTTATCCATTTTTTTAAGCAGAAAGTTCTAGTTTAACAACGTATTTTACATTAAATAAACAAAATACAAGAGGACTTACCATTAAAAGGTAACACCAACGATATTCTAAAAAATATTATTAATAAATATAGGCACAAACTACAACACGCCATTTTTGTTTTGGTGTTAAAACTAAACTAGAAGAAAAATTGAGAACTGTCTGACCGGCTGACGTCGAGAAATTATCTCTGGTTTGTTGATTGCGATGGTGCCAAATTTCTGATATTGTCATAAAAATTACTGTCAAACTATAAAATCGCTGATTTACCAAAAAAAACCTAAATACAAATTACAATTTATTATTGAATTGATCAACTCAATATAATTGCCCTCTAAAATGGGAGCATATAAAATTTTGAAATTAATCATAAAAATAAAAATTACAAAATACCCAGATTACGAATAATAATTTACTTGTAACCATCATTTAACTATATGTTATGTTATAGGTACATATGTAATAGGTATATAAATTTAACCATGTGTTATTTTGTTTTTTGTACATTTAGTGTGCAATAAAGTACGCAAATAATGCGGTCTGATAAATAATAACGCCGTATCCCGTCTCCCGCTAATCTGCAATTAGAATAAGCAGCAGAAATGGTTATTTTTATTTAGAAATCTGATAAATGTAAAGACTAGGACTAGATAACTAGAAGTTTTACCGATACATGCAAAAGTATAAAATAAATAACATATTAAACATTAATACTGCATAAACTTTCAGTTAATAAAAAAAGTAAAAATGTGCAGAAGCTATACGACGCTGTTGCATAAATAAAGTTATATAAAAAACATAAATAGCCAAGATTATTTCTTATTTATTTAACATAAATTAAAAATATTTCAACCAGTTTCAAGGATCCGTTTTTAATTAATCACTTTTCTTTGTAGTGCGTGGTCGTCACCCAAAAATGTTAGACGCGTTTATAACATCATTGTCTGAAAATATCCAATTTATAACAAAAAATTCATTTATTTTATAAAAACACAACAATTATTGAGCATTGCATTCCATATAATAACAATATGTTTTATTATATGTATATTTTTACGTTTCTGTTAAAACGCTCAGAATTGCGTTTCAGTTTCTATGTCTAATAGTAATAATAATAAAAGATCAAAAGAATGTGGCATAACAGATAGCATGTGAACGATCTTTTTCAGTTTTGAAATACATCAAAAACCGTTTACGGAATTCTATAAAAGACGAAAGGCTTGAATCGTTCATGCTTATGAATATAGAAAAAAGTTACTTACCAAAACCAAAATGAAGAAATTATAAACAAATTAGCTGCAACCAGTCCATTACTTTCTAGGTCTCTTATTTATTAGAAATTATATAATATATTAACAAGGTTCTAGATATTTTGGTTTTATTATAAAATGTTATATCTCAATGTTTTGTTTGTTATTTCGTTTAACCTAAGTAAGTAGTCTCTAGAGTAGGACTGTTTTTTGTCTCAGATTTGTGATTTATTTGTTTGTTAACTCATTTTAGTCATGATGCACAAGAATTTTATTTAGTTTTAATTTCAAAAAGTTTATCTGTTTGTTTTATTTTTCTGATTTTGAATAAATATAAAGCATGGATTATGCATACACTTATTTTAAACCATTTTTATTTGTTACAATAGAAGGTCTACGAGGGTAGTCAATGTAACCGTGGGCCGCTTAAAAAAATAATATCCCGGGCCGCCTCAAAGTTACCCATCCGCCCCTGGGCATAAGTATATGTTATATAAAGATTTTACTGTTGATGGATTTCCTATCAGCAACAATACGGGTATATATTTCCAGTACATGTCAGACGTTTTTGGTCACACATCCCGTGCTATTAGATCTCAATAACAAATCCTATGTTATTGAAGATGTAAAAATGTATGTACCTTTAGGAAAAAAGAAGGATGCTAATGAGACGTTCGATTCTTTTTTATGATAAAAAAATTAATTTCTTTAAAAAATTATTATAGTGAATAATCATCTGTGATGCAAAGACAAAGAATGGCTTTTAGAACATTTTAAATTTTCAAAACTCGGTCTGCTTCTGCTAGTGTAACATACACTGTATAAATGTAGCTTATTCTTATTATTATTTACCTGATGTGAATGTTGAAACGTCTATATGCAGTGATAATTTCTGGAGAGAACTATGATGCATCTATGTTATAACAATGTATAGGTACATCTACATGACGTTATTGTGAATCCACACTAGATAAATATTCATTTTATTAATCAGAGACATGATTAACCAAACCTAAGATAAAAATAAAGAATTATGTCATATTTTCAAAATTCTTGATTTTTTTTGTTTTAGATTTCTTTATATTTCAATTTAAAATGGTTAAATGGCAACATAGCATAAAAATACTGTTCAGCTATTTGTACCTGTTTAATACCTGCAAACCTGCGTCGCTTGCGCCTTGCTTCTTGCTTGTCTCTTGTCTGACATCTGACATCTGTTGACTGTCAAAATACAAAGTGCTTGAATTTATATGTCAATATTTTGTGTCCGCCGGATCTATTTCTATTGAATGAAAATGTAATCCTTCAAAGTTTGTTAAAAAGATTATAAAATGAATGCGAATGAATATGTAATGTTAAGCCCTATTGAAGATTTTTTTTACCTAGTAACGAATGTTGTGCGGGGAGAGCCGGTAATAATTTGAGTGAACATTAAATTATTTTATCATAAATGCAATAAATAACTGTGTGCATAAGAGGTGCCCGTTTGCTTGGTGCTGCTAGTAATACAATTTATTTATTCTCGTTTTTTTTTTAAATTAAAATGGCGGATCCACTTGTATTACTTTATTTAGACATAATTTCATAAACGTTATGATTTATAAAATAAAATATAGACAGGTTCAAAACAGGGCCTTAGACAGATGAAAACTTCAGTCAGAGCCCTGGATTTTGGGGCAGGGTTAATGATTTTAGTAATTATGTCCTGACCTGTCAGAGATGTCCAAAAAAATATAATCTGTCTTTCAAGCAGAGTGAACATTTTCTCGGACAAGGCACTCTCCTCTGCTGGCTACAACCCTGGCTCAAAATACAATCTTATAAATATTTATATTTTCTTCATTAGTTTTAACGATTCTATTTTTGAATTTGTATATTTTATTTAGAATAACTGATGACACTCATCATAAGTATTTTTACTTTTATAATGTTCTACAAAAAATATTTTTAATGTTTCATAAAAGAAAATAGGTAATTTTAAGATTGTAATTTGATTTTGTATTTGTAGACGGTAGAAGACTTAATTCTACTTCTTGGAACTTTAGTTGCATTTATAGCATTCATATTATGGTCTTGCTTTCCCGTTCACCATAAAGATGCCCTTCTGCCTGTTTTGCAAGGTCCAGATAAGAGTGGTAAGGATGAAGAAAAATACAATCAGATATCATCAGACTATGATTTAGACGAAATGTGAAATCATGTACAAAACTATCTGGAACTATATTATATACATATTCTACCTAGGTATTTCTAGTAAGTAACCCTTTTACCTTAAATATTTAAAATAATTGTTTATAATTAATACAGATGTTTACTTGCTATTTGAAAAATGAAATATATTTTTAATGATATCTGGCAGTAGATTCTCAGTGTATTTTTTTTTATAAATTTCTACTAAGGACTAAAATGTTCATATATAAGTATTGCTTGTTTTACCAATTCTATTCTATGTCTTAGATGTGTCATGAATGCAGGAAATTGTTCTAATATTCATAATGGTTATTTATGATGAAATTTATTTACATGAAGTTGGGAAATTAAATACCTTAAATTTATAATCTAATTTATCCAGATTAATATAACCAAAATGAATTAATATTAATCAGATTTAACCTAAGGTGCAACTATTTACCCTAAAGAAAAAGCAAAACACTGGAAGATAATGTTAAATAAATGATGGAATTACAAATACTCAATTTCAAAATTAGTAAGAATTTTTATAAATTATTGATACCTAACATTTAGTCAACCATAATGTTAACCATGGAGTTGAAATTGTAGATTCCACAAAAAGTAGAGTTTTTAAATAATATAACAGATCATTTCTCACAAGGTTCCTATTTTGAAATATATTGGACTGTCTCAAGTTCAATGAAATTAAACTAATTCAAATTTATTTAATAAATATTTATAGTAGGTACTTAGTATAGAAAAGTTACAGAACTTAAATTATTTTCTAAAAATGAAATTACATAAACTTGATTTAATGATCTTAATTAAAAAATTATTATGAGTATAATGAATCTAAAGATGTACTCACACTTTAAAATATATTCTGTCTCAATGTCCCAATAATGTTAATGAAACCATTTGAAGACAAATCTTTAATATTATATTCACTTAAATATTATACATTATTCTGCATGAAACAATCATATACTGTGTATACCTATTTGTCAAAATAATTATAAACCTCTGAATGTTTTTCACACTCTGGTGGCTTCCATTGTTGTAAATATAGTTTACGTAATATGTAAACTCAAAAATATATTGTCGAAGTAAGTATTTTTTCACACAATTACAATGAAAAACAGAGGCATATTATAAAAAGTACTATATTACTTGATGTACAATGTATTTATTTATATAAATAAAAATATTTTATTCTTTACAGACCAGTTTATTCTTTAGGTGACTGTAATAAGTCCCCTGTAATGTCTATGTCACATTGGATATTAGATTCTATTGGGGAAATGGGAACTAAATCAATTTCCTCTGTGCTTACTGTTTTTGTTAAGTTTACAGTTTGATTGTATACAGGCTGAAATACAAATTTAGGTTATTAGATAGTACCGACTACTGATTCCAATTTTGTAATTTTTACTGTTATTAAAATTACCATGTTAAACATTTAAATAAACAACTTACAGTTACACGTATAGTGGCAAAAAAGGTTCTATGAACTTCAATATTATGAGATTTTAGAGCATCCTCTATTTGTTTATTTTGTTTATATTTTTCGGATATTCTAAACATATGTTCTGAACTTCTTGCAATAGTTTTCAATTCACTTAAGGCATCCAAAGCATCAGTCAAATTCCCATTTGATAGATGTTTATATAGCTTATACTCTTTGAATAGTTCCTTCAACGAAATTTTAATAAATTGTTATCAAAAATATGTTTTAGTACTACCTTTTCATTGGCATTTTGTATAATTTCATTTTGTATGCTTTGTAAGTATTGTGCCAATTTATTAGTTCGTTCGGTAAGAGCAGAAAGAAGTCTGTTGTCAATGTATGTAAGGCTAATAGACGATCTATCAAATTGTTCCTTTAATTCAACCCACGCTTCTCCCAATTTTAATGCCAAGAAATTTTCTGCAATGAGTCTCGTTACCTAAAAATTTAAATTGATGACAATTAAATTTTATACTGCAGTTTTCGTTTTACCTGATCATCAGGTTGCAGTTCCTCATCATATGATTTGTATTGTTCGTCAGCAATTTTAACTGCTTCTGCATGTCTCATATGAAGCATTTGTAAGAGCGCATAAATTTTGGGTCTGCAGCTTATAAATAAATCAGAAATGCATGCATTACCGGGCGTCATTGGTTTACACGTACAGAAAGTCAAAAACCACTGGTCTTTTCCCATTAAAGGGTATCTTATATCTAATAAGGAATTTTAAATTTTATTAGTAATGTGAATTATTCCATTAAGAAGTACCTGAAATTTGTCCATGAGAACCCCTTTTTACTTTTAATCTTTTATTTTCTTCTCTAAACACCTTCATTAACATGGGAAGAATCTTCTGTCCTTTCCGTTTCCATGTTATTAGATATGGTATACAGTGATCAAATTGGCAAAGGTCTACTAAAGCCCCAAGGGTAACTATTTTTACCACAAATGGAAATTTCTATGACAAAATTAATGGAAGCTTAAATTAAAAAATCTATTCGTATTATAGAAATTATTGTACCATTTTTTAGTTAAAATAGTAGAAATATCATTGTCTCTTCATATAGATAGTATACGAAAGTAAAATATCACCCCACTTTATTTTGTGTGGAAAAATAATTCTTTGAGCAATCAATCTTGGGTTGCACCAAAGTTTACTTTAATAAAAGAATTTTATCCCAAGTGTCAATGTGACAGTTGCATATTCAATATTTTTGTTTTTTTCTTAATTACGTAAAGCAAATTGAATTGGAAATATTAAAAAACCTCTGTCTACTTCGTTTTATGTTTCGGAATTAATTGGCAAAACTTAAAATTTAGGTTCAGGTGGTCAAAATATCGGGACCGTCCTAATAGGTAACACCTATGCTAAACCATAACCCGTAACCCACCTATGTTCATGGGTGATACTAAAACTGAGTAATAATTTTGGATGGTGCTATTGGGTTAGTAGGTCATAGTACTATATAGTGTTCATATCATATAGAGCAGCATATATATATATATATATATATATATACAGGGTGTCCAGTAAGTACCTCCTAATCTCTCGGGAGTGTATAGGGGAGGTCAAAATAAAACTAGTCCTTCCTATAATTTTTTTTCCTAATGTGCCCCCTAACGGAGTTATGGGGGGTCAAAGGGGTACCTAGAAATTAACGTTTAGGGTTATAACTTTGAAACCACCCTGTATATTTTAATAAAATTTTCGTACGTTGTATTACACATGGAGCTCTACGATTTGATGCTAAAATCAACTTTTTGCTATTATCAGGTGTCCAGAAACGGACTGGCCCTATCACAATTTTTCTCAAAATTTTGACAGAAGTAATTTTATCAAACTGAAAATATTATTATTAGATACTCTGAAGGTTTTTCTTTAAAAATGGTACTCTTTATTTATTTCGAAAAAATGAACGGTTTGCGAGATAAATCGGTTTTGAAAAAAATTGGTAACAAATACAACAACAATTAAAATTTATTTTTTTTACATATTATTTCATGCATTTAATTTCTTTAACTTTATCAAGTCCAGAAATCTTTGAACGGGTTGGCTATACTTTATGAGCAAGTAGTGACCAATTAAAAATAACATTTGAAAAATAACTTACTTACAAGACATGCAACAAAGAACATTCAACAATGAACAAAGGTACCTAAATGTTACTTCGGTAGATGTTCAAAATGAGCACCCCGTACTTCAATGCACTTTCTAATCCTACGAATGTTTTCCCGGTGCACTTGAAATAATATTCCGTGATTATTGCGGAGATGGTCACAGTTCTGTGTTAGCCTCAGCAGAAGTTCCTCTCTACTATTTACGGGTGTTGAATAAACGTTATTTTTTAAATGACCCCACAGAAAAAAGTCTAATGGGTTTAGGTCGGGCGACCTAGGTGGCCATAATACAGGTCCGCCTCGACCTATCCATCGATCACCAAAAACATTCGTCAGATGTTGACGTACTAAACGATCAAAGTGGGGTGGTGCACCGTCATGCATGTACCACATTTCAGTTCTTATTTGAAGGGGCACTTCTTCTAACAAAATATTTAGATTTTCCTCTAAAAATTGCAAATAAAGAGCACCATTAAGTCTTTGCTCCAGAATAAATGGACCAATCAAATGATTCCCGATAATGCCAGCCCACACATTCACCATAAACCTTTGTTGGTAGCGAGTTTGAACTAAAGCGTGAGGGTTTTCTTCATCCCAGACATGTAGATTATGCGAATTAATTATGCCGTCTCTTGTAAAACCTGCTTCATCGGTGAACAAAATAGATGTACCAAAATTATGATTCCGAATATGATGCTGTAAAAACCAATTGGCGTATTGAAGTCTTTTTGGATAATCATCTGGAGACATAGCATGTACTTTTTGGATGTGGTACGGGTAAAGCAATTGTTCTTTCAGAGTTTCATGTACAGCCCATTTTGTAACATTGTTTTGCGCCGCAAGCTTCCTTATGCTATTTGAAGGATTATTAGCAACGTCTTCCAATATTTGTTCCTCTACATGAGGGTCTCGTACTCTCCTCGGGGCTCCTGCTCCACCACGGCGTGGCAAAAAGCTTCCTAAATAAAGGATTCGGAAGAAATTAGTTTCACTAACGTTTTTCACTATTTTTTTTTACCTGTTTCTCTTAAACTACGATCAACTCTTTCAAAAGTTTTTGGACTCGGCAAATGTCGACCCGGAAACCTTTCCTCATAAAGTCTTCTTGCCTCCACGGAGTTGCATAATGCTTCCCCATAAATTAGGTGCATATCAGCATATTCTGCACAGGAATATTCTTCCATTTTTAAATGTTATTTCTAACGGCTTAAAACGAATACCACAATAAAATTGAATTTTTATTCTGTCACGCGCCTTTGACAAGTACTTTAAAATCAACAGGGTCTAACAACGAAAACAATAGAAAAGAACTCCATGGAGACAAGAGCAATAATAATTTGTAGATGTATTTTGGTCATAGATGTTGATTTTACAAGAAACGGCATTATTCATTCCCTTAATTCACCACCAGTAAATGTTTATGGTGAATCTGTAGGCTGGCACTAGCGGGAATGATTTTATTGTAAAAAAATAAATTTTAATTGTTGTTGTATTTGTTACCAATTTTTTTCAAAACCGATTTATCTCGCAAACCGTTCATTTTTTCGAAATAAATAAAGAGTACCATTTTTAAAGAAAAACCTTCAGAGTATCTAATAATAATATTTTCAGTTTGATAAAATTACTTCTGTCAAAATTTTGAGAAAAATTGTGATAGGGCCAGTCCGTTTCTGGACACCTGATAATAGCAAAAAGTTGATTTTAGCATCAAATCGTAGAGCTGCATGTGTAATACAACGTACGAAAATTTTATTAAAATATACAGGGTGGTTTCAAAGTTATAACCCTAAACGTTAATTTCTAGGTACCCCTTTGACCCCCCATAACTCCGTTAGAGGGCACATTAGGAAAAAAAATTATAGGAAAGACTAATTTTATTTTGACCTCCCCTATACACTCTCGAGAGATTAGGAGGTACTTACCGGACACCCTGTATATATATAAATAAATAAATATATATTTATATACCAGTATACAGGTTCGGAAAGTCCCCATGGTTCATAGGCCGTTACGTGAGAGCAATAAAGTAAGTCATAGAAATCCGTGCGATAGACAAGGATGGTTACATTGAAGATGTTTGATAATCTGAATAGTCGCTCCCACTTCTAACCCGAAACGGACCGTGACTATTCAGATTATGAAACGTCTTCACTATAGCCTTCCTTGTCTATCGCACGGATTTCTTTACTTTACTTTAGCGCTCTCATGTAAAGGCAGATGAACCATGTGGATTTTCCAGCCCTGTATATGGAATTTTACAAAAAGAATCATTACTACACTAGTAAAAAAAATTAAAGGATAAAAAAAATTCTAAATTTTTGCCGATTTTTCAAATAGTATCTTTGATAAAAATGGTCATATTGGACTAAAAAAAAAGCAATTTGAAGCTTGAAGTTTCTAATTTTTGGATCTTGCAAAAAAAATTTTTTCATGTAACACATATCGCGCAATATTAATGAATATTATGAAAAAAAAATTTTCTAAAGTTTTTTCGATTTTATTTTTGGTGTACGGACTTGAAAAAAAATTTTTTTTTTTCATAATTTCAAACGCTTTTCGCACGTGTGTAAAAGAAGCGTAAATCCGACCGTGCAACCTCCACGGCGGTTTTGCGAAATTTCTGAAAATCGGTTCAAAAAAAATTTTTTTTTTTTTTTCATAATTTCAAACGCTTTCTGCAATAAGAATGTAAAAACGTTCACTTTCTTACAGATTATGATCATTTAAAGGCAAAAATACGTGATCCTTTAATTTTTTTAAAAATTCAATCGATTGAAACAAAAAAACGGCTTGATGGATCGAATTGAATCTCTGTAGGGCTTTTAGGGGTACAATGACCTGTAAATGGCACACTTAACATTAGTAATTTTCCCAATATTCTCAATGTGGCACGTGATTTTGTAGAAGACCCCTAAAAGTCCTATTTTTTACAATTTTTCAGTCATGTTAAGGATAAAAAAATTTTTTTCTAAAAAACCGTGCCAGGACCTTGTAGAGAATTCATTAAAGTTTCTGAAACCCACCGTCAATTTTCTGTGTAACCATTGGTTTCTGAGATATCGATGAGCAAAGAGAAAATGATCCATTTTCATTCAAAGTCCGATAGCTCAGGGAGAAATGGTCGTATCGAGACCAAAAAAAAAAAAAAAGAAATTGAAGATAAATGAACAACCTATCTAATCCATAAGGTGGTTCAGTTGGAAAAAATTTTTTCAAGTCCGTACACCAAAAATAAGATCGAAAAAAATTCCGAAAATTTTTTTTACGATATTCATTAAGATTGCGTTACTTGAAAAAATTTTTCTTTGCCAGATCCAAAAATTAGGAACTTCAAGCTTCAAATTGCTTTTTTTACTCCAATACGACCATTTTTATCAAAGATACAGCCATTTGAAAAGTCGCCGAAAATTTAGATTTTTTTTTATCCTTTAATTTTTTCCACTAGTTTATATTCTTACTATGAAACTCAAAGTGTAAAAAATTCAACTTTTAATTGATGTAGGTCGAAAACAAAGGACTTTCAGACTTTGTGCCTATTGAGACTTTTGATCCACACGTTCAGAACTATCACATAGCGAAGTTTCAAAAGAATTAGCAGAAAGCCACTTTCCATAAGGATTCTGCGGGGTCCTTTTTTACTCTGGTCCAGGTAACAGAGAATATAAACCTGGAAAAATTCTAAATAAAATGTAGTTATTCATGAAAATATAAAAAAACACTGGAGTAAAAATTTTGCATTTTGTGGTATATTCCCGCTACTTCTGCAAAGTGCAAAATTTCTGTCAATTAATTTTTTTAACACTCGATAATATATTGTTTTTAAAATCCCATTACTTGGGGAAAAAAATTAAATAACCTTTTTTGTGAAAGTATTTCAAGTAGTGAGCCGAGACAGGCAGGGTTGGTTCTTTCCGTACAAACAAAACACTACATTTGTTTTCTACGGTTTATTAAGATGACTTTGAAGGTGAACTGATTTGGTAAGGTCTTCGACTAACTACACTAGAAATCTAGCAGAGCTCTTAGAACATTATAATATAATAAAGTCAGCCTTACCAAGGCGAGAACCTGGCCTGTTATAGAGTTATAGTTTTATATTATTAGCAGTGTAAAAAACCTAAAGGTTGCTACCACCAGCATGGTTAGGGTGAAAATGGCCAAGCCCGGGGCAAAAAACACTTGCTAGCCTAAGAAGTGGTGCAAAAAAAACGCAGGTAAGAAGTTTATTTTCATGTGATGTTGGTTGTCCACCCAGGCTTATTGGTATTCATATATTAATTAATTCCTGCTCAGTAGTCAGGAATTAAAATCAATGATTTGAATTCTAAAATATCCAGAGATGTCAAATTGCTGGGGATGCTAGTGATGACTACTGGTATCTACACCACTGCTTGATGCATTTATAGAAGAATTGGATGTCATTAGCCCAGGTTGTATCGCTCTGTGTCAAGCGTCTTTAGATATTACATATTTCAATAATTATTGTTTCAAATTTATTGTATATCATATATGAGGTAGTCTTTCATAAAACTTTTTTTCTTATTATGGCCACCTGAATTCAAATTATAATTTAACCTACTAATCCTTAAACATCCTGTATATCTATTAATAATTAAGAAAATGAGAATTAATATATTAATAAAATATAAATTATTTCAGAGACAGCACTGAAAACTTGGAAATTAAGACAATTCCAGAAATAATAATTAAATCTGTGTACTCAATATACTTTTTTATCGTGTTTTGAGGTTTAAGAAAATGAGAATTAAGATATTAATAAAATGTAAATGATTTCAGAGACATCACTGAAAACCTGGAAATTAAGACAATTCCAGAAATAATAATAAAATCCTTTTATCGTGTCTTGAGGTTTAAGATATTTAAAAAAAACAAACATTACGTTAACAGCTGTATGATAATGTCAGTAATAATAGTGTTTAACAAATAATATCATTTTTGCCTAACCAGAAAAATTTCATTAAGAGGATAAAATTATTTAAAATTGTTTACTGAAATTTGATAATAGTTGGGTGTGTAAGTAGTAGGTAATAAAATAAGTACTGTTTATAAAAAAAAATACATTTGATAAAATGTTGGCTTTGCCTGGCAAAATGTTTACTCTGCTGCCTGAAAGATAAATTTTAATATAAGTAATTCTTCAAATACCCTGATAGCAAAATCGTTCACCCTGTCTGAAGTTTCATCATAGCTGGTTTTAAGTAATATCAAGAAGAATTATTTATTTTCACCATATGGGTGTTTCTTGTTACATAAAAATAACTATAAAAAAAACAACCCGTTAACTATTCTTTTTGACATAAAGAACAATGATGCCAAAATATTTTAAATGTACAGGGTGTTTCTAAAATAAGGTTCCAAACTTCTGCTGCGTTTATAACTCGTAAAATAAGCCAAAGAGTTCCTATTAACATGTGCCCTAAAACGCACCCTTAGGTGGTTATAGGCCCTTACAAGGGCTCAAACAAAACTGTTTTTTTTTCAAATAAATTGCTACTTAAATTTTCCACTCACCACTTTTACTAATTAAACACTGCAAAGCTCAATTGACAGTTTATCAATAACTTAAATTGTTAAGCGTTGTGGCTACGTCTGTCTTTTATTTGCCATGGTAAACAGATTTTTGTAATTTTTGGCCTAATAACTTAGAGAGCAGAGTAATTTTCAAACTCAATTTACTCGAAAACCATTGGAAATATCGATTTGGACAAAGATAATATTTTTTACGTAAAATTGTTAAGATTTTATAAATCTGTAGAGAAAATTGTAAAAAAATTGAAATAAAAAAAATTACGGGCCGAAAACCCCCTTCACCAACCTAAATGGGACGCATATGATTTGCATGTCGAAAAACAGAGTAGCCATGTTATTTAACGTAAAAAGTTATGTAAGACCCATAAATTTTTTTCTATTTATTTGCGACCTTTTAAGGGCATATAACTTCCTAAGGGTGCGTTTTAGGGCACATGTTAATAGGAACATTTTGGCTTATTTTAATGAGTTATAAACACAGCAGAAGTTTGGAACCCTATTTTAGAATCACCCTGTATATTTAATGTTTGTTTTGCTGTTAGTGCAGTAAAGATATTGAATTAAGTACCTGTACCATATCCAACATTAAAAAAGTACCACCTTTTTTTACAAATTCTTTTGCACATTCCTCATCTTTGACAATGTGTTCCCAAATAAAATTCATAACACATATAATTTCACGAACGTCACGAACAGATACTTCTTTATGCGGTAGTACAATTTTCTTCATATATTCTATAGTAATTGTAATTAATTTCTTCTTATATTTTTGAGTGGAATGCTCATATAAAATATTTAAAATGAGGATAGCTAGAGTTAAACATTTTTTCCCAAAATTATCTTCAAACAAATTTAACACTATGTCCTCACATAAACCTGCAATATGAATTTAAGTGAAAAGTGATTATTTTATATAACTGGTTTACCCAGAATTAATTTGAAACCGTCATTAAATATAATGGAGTCCAATACCATGACTGTATTTCTTAATGTGTGAAGCAAAGCTTCCAAACATTTTCTTAATATGAGTATGTCAATATCATTCGTCTTATACATACAAATGATATCTAAAAATCTGAAATAATATACTTATTGAATTCCATTTTTTAGGAAAAATAAACTTTTTTAAATGTACTTCTGTTTTCTAGATGTATTTCAGAATTCATAATTTCAGTTTCAGATTACTCACATGCATCACACCACTGGTGCTGGGCGGTTATTTTAGAAAATTTGCTTATTATACTTTGTTAATGTTATGTCTGTGACTTGAAAATCAATTGGCAGGTGGCCAATTATGAGTTTAGTGCTAAGGGACACACCTATTTTGGTTGGGCGCAACAGGGTCAGTGGGATATAGAGAATAAGAATTAGGCAGTGCACAGAGAATTATAAACAATTGGACCCATATTGCTAGTTCTTTTATTTTGAGTTATTTTGTTCTAATTTGATTATGGTATAGCAATTTATGTATTAATTATTTTCTACATTGTTTATTGCTGTATTGTTATAGTGATAATAATGGCTGCTGAAAATATTCTCCACCTTCGTTTTCTGATATGTATTTCAGAATAGTCAGTTTTAGTTCAGAATATGTAAATATGTCAAATTTTAGTGCCATGCAATAAATGTATGTACTTTTTTTTTAATGAAGTCTAAGAATGAAGTTTTTTTAATGAAGTAATGAAGCCTTTTCAAAAAATGTCTGCGTATGCTCAAAATCTCTACCAACAGAAAAAACATTGCAGAAAGAAAGGCTGTTTAAGATGTTTTTAGTAACTTGTATGTGTTGACTAAAAAATAAGCTTATATCCGTATGTGGCTACACCAAACACACCCACGTATTAAATTTCAGTAAATTATCTTAAAAAGTGATGGAGTTATCTTGAAATAAATAAAAACATTATTTTAAGGCCAATAACATTTTAAGAAAGGCAAATTTTACCTAGGCTTGATCTAAACCTGTGTATTTTCAATTAAAGCAGCTACCCTTTTGTATGTCATGTTTTTATTGGACGTCCTGTAAATAAAATTTATATTTAAGTTTACCACATCTCAAGTAAATATAATTTCAATTAACTAAAAATTTTATTGATCATTTTGAAAAAATTGATGAAATGAGAAATTTATGGTTTACAAAAAAATGATTGAAAATTAGAAGTTTACTGTGACATGTGCTGATACAACTGTCTCATTAGGAATTTACATAATTTGTTGCTATATCTTAAAAGTATACAGGGTGCCCAAATAATCCATGTGTTGGTAATGATTAAAGAAAAAAATAATAGATAATGATGTTTTTGAAAAAAATATGTTTTCTAACAAAAATACAGTTTGCATTTTCTGAATTAAAACTGCTATTCTGAAATAAAAGTATAACTAATCTGAAGTACAAATAAAGCTTTCTGCAGTTAAACCAAGTTGAAATCGAAAAAATGCTCTCTGAAATGCATGTGGAAAAGATTGTAGTACATAGTAGGACCACTATTCTCGATAAATTCCTCTTCCATAAAAGGCACGATTTTCATTAAACAATCCAGAGCTAAATGGCTGAGTACGCAAACTTGTTGTGGATTCCATTTTGTAGCAGATTTATTTTTTGAAATTGACAATAGTCGATAAACAACTCTTTCTTCCTCTAACACCTGAAAAATTTGAAATAATATGTAAGATTCCATTTTCTTCAAATAGATTCTTTCGCATCATCTATGACTCAGGCTGCTAAGGATCTAGCTTATTGATTATATTATTGTTTACCCTTATTCCTCCAAAAAATTTTATGTATAATGGCAAAATTGAAATTAAAAGTTCTAGATATGAGCGGTCCTCATCATCTGAAGAAAGTTTCACGTCTTTGGCCCATGATTTAGCACTCCCAATGTTCAAACCTATAACGACGAAATCTAAAAATAAAATAATAAATTATTTATACTGCACAAGTAAACCAACTGAATCACCTTTTGCTAAACCACTTGCAACAAAGTTGAGATCGGGAAATAAATTAATAATTTTTATTAAAATTAGTAATATATTGTTTCGATTCATAGCTTGATTTGTTCTTGCAAAGAAACGAAATGCATATTGAAGATTCCTTTAATAAATTATTATTAATAAGTTACGTTTCAAAGGTGTATCTAATTTAATATTATGTGAGTTGATATTACTTACCATAAAGAAAATAGTTGAATGTTTTTAATTTCTTTCATATTTTTTTTATTATTTGTCATATATTTCAATAACATTAATATAATTATTTCAGCTGTATCATAGTGTAAAACGTTTTTTACAGGCAGTTTTGGTGGAGGTTTATTGGGAAACCTTTCTTTCCATGTTGGTTCTAGTCGCATTAATAAATAATTCAATGCATCTTGTTCAATTAATATCTGACCTAATTAAAATATGAATTTTAATTTCTATTTATTACAAAACAAATATGGAGATAGAAGATTGGTTTAATAAAGGTAATTAAAAAAAATATGATTTTAAAATTAATGATCCTATTTGAATAAATAGAGTGTACTGTGTAAATTGGTAACTTACAAGCTTCATCTGCTGCCTTGATCAATGTCTTTATTACATTTAATATGTTTGGATAAATTTTTTCATCTGCAAATTGTAGTAACTCGGTTAATATTTCTAATAACTGACTCTTTAGAGCACAATTTATTCGAGCTTCTAGAGAAACATAACGACGAGATTCATAGCAATCTTTTGTCAACAAACTCATTAAAACATCAGCTGCAAGAACTTGAAGATTTTCATTTTTCAACGATGCTAGTGTATATCCTATGAAACAAGTGCAAAAACGTTTATCATATGTGTATCTTCAACCATAATTAGAATTGTACTTCAAAGCAAATTATTTTTGTTTGCTGTCACTAAATTATTTAGTAAGTATATTATGGGCAATTTTCGTCAGAAAATACCTTTCTATGTAAAATTTAGTCTAACAATTTCAAAAGAATAAAAGGAATAAGAAAATAAATAAGGTTTATACAAGATTTTGTAACATAACAGTGTTCTCTAATTTAGTATCCAAAAGACATAAATAGCTTCTGAAAAAATTTAGTTAAATGTTAATTTAACGAAAATTAATTTTTTTGTTGAATATTTCCACAAAAATAATGAATCTTTTAAGACTATTACTTGGTTGAACTACAATTTTCTTTTTATCGACATCGTCTTGGGAATTGGGGTAATTTTACTTCCTTAATTTCCTAGCCCTGTATATTTTTGGGTGTTTAATTATGAGACCATCCTGTACAAATTGTGTAATTGTTTTTAACTAAATATATACAGTGTGTCTCATTTCAAATGAATAGACATTCATTACTCCTTTTATAATAGAGATAGAATAGAGATAAAATGTTTTGACTACTGTTTAAAAGCAGTCTTTGTGCATATCTGATACCATAGTGTGTAGTGTTGAAACTATGACAGTACTAGAATGAAGAAACAAAATGGCCGATAAGAATAAAGTAATGTCAACTAAGGCCACGAAGTAATATTTTCTTATTAAAACTATGAGCATTGACAAGTTTTTACAAGATATGCAATATCAGCAGACTAGTTGGCTTATTTTTAAAATAATGAACCATTTTCTAATAAATTGTAATGAAAATTAAAATTATGAGGAAATGTTTTCCCACAAAATAGGTTTCAAATCAAAAGCTATTTTTAAATACATAATTTTATAACTTTCTGTCAATTTGTTGTTGAGAAAATTGCATATACTCCAATATATTGTAACGATACATTTGGAAACAATCTGTTTGTTATAAAACAGTTTGCTGTCAAATATGTAATACCTTACGGATAGTTGAGTATTTCTTATTTACAATGATCTCATGGTGGTACAAAAGAAGAAGTAAGTACACTCATGAAAATTTATTAAGTGACCTAAGACTAAGTTAACCAAGTGATTTTCGAAACTTTCTGCGACTGGACGGTTCATCATTTGATGAACTGCTGAAAATGTTTATGCCTGAAACTGAAAAACTGAATACTACTGCACTACATTCGATACACAATTGAACAGATATAGCGCAATAATATTACCTACAGACGTTACCTACAGACGATACAATATATTCGACATTGCACAATAAAAATCAAACTATTTTTTATTCACACAATATATTGAGCAAGCTTTCAATATACCTAGACGGGTACAATATGAAATACTGCACAATAATATCGACCATCTAGAAGGCCTCTATGACGGATATTAAAATCCAAAACAGCAGCTCTACATGTTACTCTATTTTCCCCAACTATTCTTATTCTACTTTATTCTATTTTGTCTTCAACATTTAAATGTATTGTCATATTTGTAAAAGAGAAACTTGTTACTTACATATATGTAATTATTTTAAAGTAATTAGCCAAAACCCTAATCCTATTACGTAATATTTATTATTATTGTAAACATAGACAACAGTCTACTTTACTTTAGATTGCAAGAAACAAATTACTTCCAAGCATATTGTTACACAATATTGGGACACAGGTGTAGCGTTGTGGGCAGAGGATCGACAAAGTTTTGAAATTTTTTATTTTGAAATAGCTGTTATCTCTAATGTCAGTATAGTCTAATATGCCAGAAAGTTGATAACAATGGGATATGGTTCAAACAACAGTTTTTAAAGTCTAATAAATAGAAATGAGTTTATAGCTTATACATGGTTCACATTTTCATTGCAGAATAATATTCAGTTTTAAAACACTTTTTTATGCAAATGTCTCATTTTATTAAGAAAATATTACTATTACTTCATGGCCTTCGCTGACATTACTTTATTCTTATTGGCCGTTTTGTTTTTTCACTCTGGTGACACCATAGTTTGATTGGAACTACATACTATGGTACCAGAAAGTGCACAAAGATGGCCTTTAAACAATAGGAGGGAATTGAACTGTATTCATTAGAAACGTTGAGTGAGGAAGTCGTAGTATTTCCTCACTTAATGTTTGAAATTAAACATACCTATACTGTACATATTATAGTCCCTCATGTCCATAAAATATTGTTTTAAAGGTTTCACCCGCACTTTCACCTTTTTACTGATTTTTCAAATAAGTTGTATGACACACTTTTTTGACAAAATAGTATATAATAATAAACTCGTAAATGCTTAAACCAGTGCACATTATAATTACCTACTTTATTTCTTTTTTTATCATCATCTCTTCCTAAATTTTTTAATATTATTAAAACTGAATAATTCTGAATACCTACCCAACATTCTAAAATATTCCTCAAATGATCTAGAAAATCTTAATATGTCTGAAGAGCGAGTCATTATTGGAGGAATAGCACAAATATGCAGAATGTTATCTAAAAAGTATGAATATTCATCTACTTCCTCAATTCTGTCAAGTAGGAGTTCTATCAGGAACATGAGGTCATGTAAATCACTCATCAACTGTGTTATATTATTAAAGTTATATAATAAGAGATGCAAAAATATAAAGAAAACTAATTTTATGAAAAGGATACAAAACCTGTTTTACAAACATTTGTGAGTCTGTTAATGTACTCTTGTTGCCTTTCAACATCATTTTTTGTTATCTGTTCTGCGATTAATGAAATAATTTTTTGAATTACAACAGTAGGATTTTTAAATTTGATATAGTCGCAGTCTTTATTATTTATGTCGCCTTGTTCCATATCTTTAATTTGTTATTAGAATTGTATATAGATATGTTGACAATATCTATGACAGTTTTTAAAAAATATGAGTGAAGCCTACTGTATGAGGGTAAGTATACAATAAACCATACCCATTTTTGGGCTAATCTGAGATTGGTTACAGGGTGTTTACTAAAGAAGGGACCATACTTTAAGTCTAGCTTCCCTGGACGAAAATCAGGTGATTTAACTCACCTTAGTATTATCCTGCAGGTAATTTTATTTAAAAATTTTGGAAAAGTAGGTTTTTTGTGTTATAAAAACGAGCAAATATTCGTGATTTGCTTTTTTTTCGATAAATATACAGGACGTCCTGAGAGCGCCCTTGTCACTATATTGTTTCCTTCAGATCTTTTTAAAGATCGATATTTTTGAAAAATGATTAGTTATTTTAAAACAGCATTCGATTTGCTTTAAAAAAGGTCTATTTTTTGCATATCGCTAAAATGTACCAGAGAAAATAACGTTTGAACTAGATACAATAGGTACAATAAGTTTGAAAATAATTCATAAATTACAATAAATTATTAATTTGAAAGGTTGTAAACAGTTAGTAATAGGTCTGTTCCAACAAGAGTCAGGGATTGGTTCCCAACCGTTCGAAATGTTTGGCCAGCTAAATTCTAAATGTGTCTTCAGTGAATATATCGCAAGAATTAGTTGGATGAACATTTCTGACGGTTTGAAACCAATCCCTGACTTGTTGGAACAGACCTAATGTGGTTGCGATAACAACTGAAAACGTAAACATGAAACCAAACACAGAAAAATATGACAACATGAAACGATACTACATTTAGATTGTGTTCCGATATCAAACGTGTTAAACTGATAAACGTTCCATTATTTGTCATTTCCTGAAATCTGTATAATTTTGGAACAGTGATTACCTGAAATTGGTTAACCAACTGTCAAATAAGTAACTGCGTCATTATTCCATGGCTAGAAATTGGCCTCAATGATTTGGGATCGCGCCATTATTCCATGGCTAGAAATTGGCCTCAATGATTTGGGATCGTGGGGGATTATCCCTCTTTATCCTGCCTCATCTCGTGTAGGCCTGGACAGCCTTCGTAGGTGGGCCCCATCCGTCGTCTACCCCGACCGCAAATGCGGCCGGTGTAGGCGCTTTGTGGGACCTCCTTTTGTCCTGGCTGGGCCCCGCCGGCTAGGGCCCTTTCTTCTGGCGCTCTTCTTGCTTCGCCGGCTCGTCTGTGTAAACCCCGGGGGTAGTGTCATGTTTATGTGTGGTATGGTTGGGTAGGGTAGTGCGGCTATGCAGCCTGGGATGCGCTTTGCTAAGGTGGCCCTTAGGCTAGCGCGGGAGGGGAGGGGTAAGGAGGGTATGGGGGGTGTGTATGTGTGTGTGTGTGTGTGTGTGTGTGTGTGTGTGTGTGTGTGTGTGTGTGTGTGTGTGTGTGTGTGTGTGTGTGTGTGTGTGTGTGTGTGTGTGTGTGTGTGTGTGTGTGTGTGTGTGTGTGTGTGTGTGTGTGTGTGTGTGTGTGTGTGTGTGTGTGTGTGTGTGTGTGTGTGTGTGTGTGTGTGTGTGTGTGTGTGTGTGTGTGTGTGTGTGTGTGTGTGTGTGTGTGTGTGTGTGTGTGTGTGTGTGTGTGTGTGTGTGTGTGTGTGTGTGTGTGTGTGTGTGTGTGTGTGTGTGTGTGTGTGTGTGTGTGTGTGTGTGTGTGTGTGTGTGTGTGTGTGTGTGTGTGTGTGTGTGTGTGTGTGTGTGTGTGTGTGTGTGTGTGTGTGTGTGTGTGTGTGTGTGTGTGTGTGTGTGTGTGTGTGTGTGTGTGTGTGTGTGTGTGTGTGTGTGTGTGTGTGTGTGTGTGTGTGTGTGTGTGTGTGTGTGTGTGTGTGTGTGTGTGTGTGTGTGTGTGTGTGTGTGTGTGTGTGTGTGTGTGTGTGTGTGTGTGTGTGTGTGTGTGTGTGTGTGTGTGTGTGTGTGTGTGTGTGTGTGTGTGTGTGTGTGTGTGTGTGTGTGTGTGTGTGTGTGTGTGTGTGTGTGTGTGTGTGTGTGTGTGTGTGTGTGTGTGTGTGTGTGTGTGTGTGTGTGTGTGTGTGTGTGTGTGTGTGTGTGTGTGTGTGTGTGTGTGTGTGTGTGTGTGTGTGTGTGTGTGTGTGTGTGTGTGTGTGTGTGTGTGTGTGTGTGTGTGTGTGTGTGTGTGTGTGTGTGTGTGTGTGTGTGTGTGTGTGTGTGTGTGTGTGTGTGTGTGTGTGTGTGTGTGTGTGTGTGTGTGTGTGTGTGTGTGTGTGTGTGTGTGTGTGTGTGTGTGTGTGTGTGTGTGTGTGTGTGTGTGTGTGTGTGTGTGTGTGTGTGTGTGTGTGTGTGTGTGTGTGTGTGTGTGTGTGTGTGTGTGTGTGTGTGTGTGTGTGTGTGTGTGTGTGTGTGTGTGTGTGTGTGTGTGTGTGTGTGTGTGTGTGTGTGTGTGTGTGTGTGTGTGTGTGTGTGTGTGTGTGTGTGTGTGTGTGTGTGTGTGTGTGTGTGTGTGTGTGTGTGTGTGTGTGTGTGTGTGTGTGTGTGTGTGTGTGTGTGTGTGTGTGTGTGTGTGTGTGTGTGTGTGTGTGTGTGTGTGTGTGTGTGTGTGTGTGTGTGTGTGTGTGTGTGTGTGTGTGTGTGTGTGTGTGTGTGTGTGTGTGTGTGTGTGTGTGTGTGTGTGTGTGTGTGTGTGTGTGTGTGTGTGTGTGTGTGTGTGTGTGTGTGTGTGTGTGTGTGTGTGTGTGTGTGTGTGTGTGTGTGTGTGTGTGTGTGTGTGTGTGTGTGTGTGTGTGTGTGTGTGTGTGTGTGTGTGTGTGTGTGTGTGTGTGTGTGTGTGTGTGTGTGTGTGTGTGTGTGTGTGTGTGTGTGTGTGTGTGTGTGTGTGTGTGTGTGTGTGTGTGTGTGTGTGTGTGTGTGTGTGTGTGTGTGTGTGTGTGTGTGTGTGTGTGTGTGTGTGTGTGTGTGTGTGTGTGTGTGTGTGTGTGTGTGTGTGTGTGTGTGTGTGTGTGTGTGTGTGTGTGTGTGTGTGTGTGTGTGTGTGTGTGTGTGTGTGTGTGTGTGTGTGTGTGTGTGTGTGTGTGTGTGTGTGTGTGTGTGTGTGTGTGTGTGTGTGTGTGTGTGTGTGTGTGTGTGTGTGTGTGTGTGTGTGTGTGTGTGTGTGTGTGTGTGTGTGTGTGTGTGTGTGTGTGTGTGTGTGTGTGTGTGTGTGTGTGTGTGTGTGTGTGTGTGTGTGTGTGTGTGTGTGTGTGTGTGTGTGTGTGTGTGTGTGTGTGTGTGTGTGTGTGTGTGTGTGTGTGTGTGTGTGTGTGTGTGTGTGTGTGTGTGTGTGTGTGTGTGTGTGTGTGTGTGTGTGTGTGTGTGTGTGTGTGTGTGTGTGTGTGTGTGTGTGTGTGTGTGTGTGTGTGTGTGTGTGTGTGTGTGTGTGTGTGTGTGTGTGTGTGTGTGTGTGTGTGTGTGTGTGTGTGTGTGTGTGTGTGTGTGTGTGTGTGTGTGTGTGTGTGTGTGTGTGTGTGTGTGTGTGTGTGTGTGTGTGTGTGTGTGTGTGTGTGTGTGTGTGTGTGTGTGTGTGTGTGTGTGTGTGTGTGTGTGTGTGTGTGTGTGTGTGTGTGTGTGTGTGTGTGTGTGTGTGTGTGTGTGTGTGTGTGTGTGTGTGTGTGTGTGTGTGTGTGTGTGTGTGTGTGTGTGTGTGTGTGTGTGTGTGTGTGTGTGTGTGTGTGTGTGTGTGTGTGTGTGTGTGTGTGTGTGTGTGTGTGTGTGTGTGTGTGTGTGTGTGTGTGTGTGTGTGTGTGTGTGTGTGTGTGTGTGTGTGTGTGTGTGTGTGTGTGTGTGTGTGTGTGTGTGTGTGTGTGTGTGTGTGTGTGTGTGTGTGTGTGTGTGTGTGTGTGTGTGTGTGTGTGTGTGTGTGTGTGTGTGTGTGTGTGTGTGTGTGTGTGTGTGTGTGTGTGTGTGTGTGTGTGTGTGTGTGTGTGTGTGTGTGTGTGTGTGTGTGTGTGTGTGTGTGTGTGTGTGTGTGTGTGTGTGTGTGTGTGTGTGTGTGTGTGTGTGTGTGTGTGTGTGTGTGTGTGTGTGTGTGTGTGTGTGTGTGTGTGTGTGTGTGTGTGTGTGTGTGTGTGTGTGTGTGTGTGTGTGTGTGTGTGTGTGTGTGTGTGTGTGTGTGTGTGTGTGTGTGTGTGTGTGTGTGTGTGTGTGTGTGTGTGTGTGTGTGTGTGTGTGTGTGTGTGTGTGTGTGTGTGTGTGTGTGTGTGTGTGTGTGTGTGTGTGTGTGTGTGTGTGTGTGTGTGTGTGTGTGTGTGTGTGTGTGTGTGTGTGTGTGTGTGTGTGTGTGTGTGTGTGTGTGTGTGTGTGTGTGTGTGTGTGTGTGTGTGTGTGTGTGTGTGTGTGTGTGTGTGTGTGTGTGTGTGTGTGTGTGTGTGTGTGTGTGTGTGTGTGTGTGTGTGTGTGTGTGTGTGTGTGTGTGTGTGTGTGTGTGTGGGTGGGTGTGTAAGTGTTAGTCGTGTGGGGATGCCCCCTTACGGGGGCGTACGTGTCTTTTGGTGTATTAGTCTGTCTGGTATATTGTTTGTCGGGGGTCGCAATTTTAAAGAAATGTATTCAAAAATAATGCAAATAACTGATAAATAAAGTAAAAACTTACCTGGGCATAACCCCGGCACAGATACCTGTAACAAAGATGCCGACGGCCTCTATGCTTAAGCCGGGGATTAGGTCGGTGGTTAAGAGGAAAGAAAGGGATTCTTTCCAGGTAGCCTTAATAAAGGCAGGTAGATCTTGCTCGTTGCAATGCACTTCACTTCACAATAAACACGTCCGCTCAGTTTGACCGCTCGCACGAGAATGTGGTGTGTGCCGACAATTCGCTAAACGCAGCCTATCTTAAAATCTATAGTCTATGGGGTTTTAAAGTGTTCTATGGTTCAATTAAACTAACCTAATAACCTATTCTCTTATACAAGCAAAATAAGAAATTATGGCCAATTTTAACAGTCTTAAAACTATTTGTAAATATTTAACTAATTTTACTATTAGTAATTCAAAAATATTAAATACTTCACTATGTAGAAGGTATGATGAAAACACATTGCTGTAGTTAATTCTCATTCCTCTATTTAACAAACTAAAATATTCATTATAAAAACACATACCATCGAATCAGCTAGATTGAGACACTGTATTTGTTTTAGAAACATAGCTACTACAAGTGTAAAATATGACTTGATGGAATTTTTTGATGATAAAAAAAATTGGGGAGCGCAAGAAGTTAAAAGTGGTCGTTCATGGAAGAAAGAAGAACTAAGACTTAAATCCAATAGTGATTTACACAAGCTGTGGTTAGTGATAGATACAGGGACGTATTTCTAAATTATGAGCCCTGGGCAAATATGATCGGCAGCCCTAGTACCTGTTAGTAAATGTAGAATATCAGCAAAGGAAAATACGTCCCTGGATAGATATTAAATTTAAAATCTTGATCAATGGTTAATACATTTTTCTCAGGTATGTTCTTCTCAAGGAACGCAATATGTTGCTAACAATGGAACAAGAGGCAAATGATAAAATCAAATTATTTCCAAGTCCAGAACGTATTGACAAGGTCGAGGAATCTATGGAAAATTTAGAATCTGTGGTAAGGGAGCGAAATATAGCTTATCATGAATTGGAGACTGGAGAGACTGGTGAAAGACCAGGAAAAGTTGAAACAAATGCATTTGGGTTAACATACTATCACAAGCAAGTATAATTAAATGTATAATTTCAATTTTAGTAGGGGCGCACACGACAATCAGTACAACTATTTTTTACTGTTTTTGGGTACATATCACCGATACTTTATTAGGCTTTAACAATGTACACAAATTAGTTTATGCATTTTTCTAAAATGTTTCAGTTTTCTTTGTTTTCTCTGTTAAGAGGTATCATGAAATATTGTTTTTGCTTTTCCTGATCAGTTTTTCTACATCGATGTTAATTAAGATAAGATTAACCTGATCTTAATTACTAATGGAGGGTTCATATAACAGACAGTCGACTGCCGACTATTTTGTCCGCGAATCATAAAACTTCGAAAATATCTATGAAAACCCAATCTTGTTTTTAAAAAAATGTCTTCACCAACTATCTGTCGTACGTGCCTTTACTAAAAATTCTAGAATAAAAAGTGGTAATCTTCAAGATATTTAATAATACATATATTTTTAGAATGTGTGAATATATAATGCCAAAACATATGAATAAAAAGTGGCATGAAAAATATAAATTTTATAAAAATATGTATGACAGGGATACTGAACAGTTCCTGTTGAAATATAGAGAGAAATTATATTTACAGAAAAGAAGGAAGCGAACGTAAGAAAAATAGTACATTTTTATTATAAAAAAGATTAATAACATTATTTTCCAGGAGAGATTTTAATCACGTAATTGGATTATTAAATAGATTCCCTGACATGGATATGGAGGCTGTAAAAGAACAATATCCTGATGTAGATATTGAAAAAGCCAAAGCAAGTCGCAAATATGGTGGACATTTCGTACCAAAATGAATGTACATTTAAAGTGATTAAATATTTTTTAATGGTCCTGCTGTTTTATTCTAATCTAATGAAGAAAAAACCATTATATTACAGTATTTTTAGATAGAGTTTAGTTAAGGCTCTCCTACTTACATGTAATTGGTTATAAAATATAGTTAAGTAGTATTTTAACAATTAGATGCTATACAATATACAATTTACCCAAATTTATGACTATATAAATAAATAACTATATTTAAGGTTGGGCAAAGTCTAAATTGATTTAACTCTGAATTTCATGACAAATGACTTAAAAGAACTATATGTGGGAATTTAAATTTAAACCAATGAACAATTTTTTAGAGTATTTCAAATATAGAATGAACTTGAAATAGTATGTAAAAATGCAAATCATTAAAAATCAAATAAGGGTTTAATTCAAGATTGTGGTTTAAAATAAATAGTAAATTATGATGTTAAAGTTTGTTATTGGCTAAGTACATGTATTTGTCGCAGATTTAGGTAAACCATTGGCTTATTTGGCTACATAGCCCCACATTGGGCACCATGTCAAAGATTTAGGTAGGTGGGTTGTCCTCTGTCGTAGCCACACAGTGGGTGCCAGGATGTGGATTGTGCTCGTTTGTTGGCTGTGGTTGTGGATTTTGATTGGTCTGACTAGCTCTACTATCATCTCCCCTTAGCATTGTAGTATAACAACCCCGGGTTCAATTGAAAAAAAAGAAAAATAATACGTAGTTGTGGCCAAAAAAATATGTGATCGTCATAAGGAATACCTACGTTGTATACATCTATTTTTAATTAACGGAAATGCGCTGGCTACTAACTTTAAAGAGGGGAAGTATGGTTTAATTTTATAAAACAAAAGCAGAGTAAATACACTTAACTTTATTATTTATGTACAACAGTCTTCAAATTAAACATGTGACACATAGAAAGAACAACAAAAACATTAACAACCATTTAATATAAAGTGAGAGTGCCAGGCTCACCTAGAGCTCCTGTGGGGAAAGAGCATGGCAGAGAAACCCACGACCGTTGCTCTAACTACCCAAATATAAATACAAAACAACCGCTAACAAAAGGCATACATTAGGATCCTTTGCTAATGATAAATAACACCCGACTTATTTAATGTCTCACTAAATGTCATCTCACTAAAATTAGACATACATACGTCCAAGTAAAAAGAATAGGTTATAATAATAATAACAACAACAATAATAATAATAATAGGTAAGGTACTGGAGTCCCATACGGGAGGCAATCCAGCTATAGTTGAGATTTCGGAAGAACAACAACAATAATAATAATAACAATAATAAATAGGTAATAATAATAATAAAATAATAATACTATGAGTTGAGATTTCGGAATATCTGTTTTAGCAATTCTCTTATTGTTTTTAATTATTCTTTTTACAGATTCATTCCTCAAGGGCAAAAATGTTAGTAAATTCAACAAAGCTCTTATATGCGTATGACATAAAGTGAGAACAAGAAATCAAAGAACAACGTAATCATGATAAAACAAGTTAAATGTGGTACAAAGGAGTTGTTATTGCAATATCCGCGCAGTCACGACAATATATACATATTTTAACATGTAATAAATAATGAGCAATCTTTAATAATAATTGTAAACAATTTTACGTTAGAAAAATATACGCCCCTGAGCGTAAAACAATGAAGGCTAAACATACACAGAATTATTATCATGAAACATCTATAATCATCACAATCATAAGATTACATAAAACAATAAAGCAAAGTACTTAGAGAATAATTACCTGCTAACTAATACCAGTTAAACACTTTATTTTTCACTACTTTGCCACACTGCCCGTCGATCGTCTTACTACCCATTTCCACACTGTTCTCACTTCCAACTACATCTCTTCAACTATTTAGGCTTCCTTCCAGAATTCCCTACCTAAGCGTTTGTTTTTGTGCTTCCTTCTACCAACTGTCAATATTACATTTTCATTATTGTGCAACACATGTAACAGGTGACGTCGAAGTTGATACGATAAGTATGGTTTTGCACAGCATGTTGAGAGGGTCGTAAACTCTCATAATAGGTCTGGATGGAGAGTTTCTGTCTGGGTCCGTTTTCACCTGTGGTGCTGGGATGTTAGTCATCCGCTCGCCAATGAGAAAGTTCCCAAGTATTTTGAGCATTTTCCCTTTAACGTTAGCCACGAGGGACATGGAGATGATCATTCCTTCTCCATTATTGAGTTCTATTGTTGCTTTAGCTCAATGTTTCATGCTCTAATTGTTGTGGTTTGACCTAAGATACACTTTGGACACTTACACTTTATTTTAATAAAAGTTTGTATTATTTAAATGTTTTGTGTAACGGGTTATCCACTGAACCCTATATATCATTGGTGGGTTTGCTATCCTAATGTCTGAAAATCACTGTCTTTGTAACCTGGGTACACACTGGTTGTGTGGATTCTACTAGGTGGCGTGACGTATGGTTTAGTTCCTCAGCAAATATGGTCGTCTCTGAGGACTTGAAGGTCTGAAACCGATGTGGGTTAATATTGACCTTAAGATCATTTGGGGGTGCCAATTTGAAGTCCCTTGGATGTTATTTTTGCCACTTTTCAGAAAGTGGTGGTGAAAAATTTTGACGCTCCTGACTTTCGTCAGCGACCTCGGGGAGAGAGTGGCATATGTTGTCATTGTTGTCTCGAGGAAACTCTTGGCAGCAATCTTCTCATCCGGTGGCTTGGCGGGTGAATTTTAGATACATTGGTGAAATTTTTCACAACGTTGAATTTCCATGCCTCTTCATGGTTGGAAGTAAGTATTGCTTGGTCGCATGCTTGTCCGCTACGTCTGTGACGATTATGGCGGCAATAGCAACGTCTACGGAGCCTCGCAAGAAACATTAGAAAACTTGGAGAAAATTTGAATTATTTACAAATTAACACCCTTGCCTGATTTCCAAAAATTGTAAACCACTTAATGATATTAGAAATTAAATTTTCTTATAGAAAATGTTTAAATTAAGAAATTGTATTTAGAAAAATAAAAGTAGAATCAATTAGCAAAGATTGGAATTATGAAATGTGATATAAAATGTTCTCTGAATGTGTTTTTATTAAAAACGTAAAATTTTCTGTAAAAGTTAGAACACGAGATATAGGGTGTCCCGAAATTCATGCAACAAAATTTGGTCACAGATTCTTAAGACAAATTTAGGGGACCAGTATTTTTTATTTTTGCCAAGTGGCCCCCTCTTTTGGAGTTACAGCCCCCTGAAGTCTGCCCCTAAAAATAATCTTTTTTTATATCTCAAAACCCTGTTGTACGAGAATCACTAAATTTGGTACACAGGGGTTTTATGACATGTGGAATCTGATGGTCCTGCGCTTTTTGGCGAGAAACCGCCTTAAGACAATTTTTCGTGGGCCCCCTTGTCTGGAGCCAAAAAAATTTGGTCGCATATTTAAATTTCTTAAAAATTATCAGTCCACTAGAAAGCCATTAAATTTAGAAAATTTTTGTCTATTTATACTTTTTTCGTAAAACGCAATGTTTTGGAGAAAAATGTCAGAATGTGATCGAATGCATATCGTGATTCACCATTTTCCTCAAAAACATTGCATTTTATGAAACAAATATCAAGACAAAAAAGTTTCTAAATTCAATGGCTTTCTAGCTAATAATTTTAAAAAAAATCAAATTTGCGACCAAATTTTTCTGGTTCCAAAGACAAGGAGGTCCACGAAAAAGTGTCTTAAGGGGGTTTCTCGCCAAAAAGCGTAGCACTGTGAGATTCCACATGCCATAAAACCCCTGTGTACCAAATTTAGTGATTCTCGTACAACCTGGTTTTGAGATATAAAAAAGACTTCTTAGGGGCAGATTTCAGGGGGCTGTGAATCCGAAAGAGGGGGCCAGTTGGCAAAAAGAAAAAATACTTAAATTTGTCTTAAGAATCTATGACCAAATTTTGTTGCATGAATTTCGGGACACCCTGTATTGCTGAATAAATGGCTATTATTATTGTATTATCTTGTAGACTAAGCATTTCCTAACAGAAGTTTATAGCACCCTTTTTTATCCTTATTTTGAGGTAATCTATTATAAGGTAATGATTGACCTATATGTAATTTAAGACGTTCTAGGAATACAAATGATATTTTTTTAAATAGAGCCATAATATTTATCTAATTTACATAGCAATAACATAATTTTGTTGCTACTTTATTTGAAAATTACAGTTTTTAGGAATTTAAAACAAAAAGTACATAATGTTCATTAATTTATTATTTTTGTAGCTACAACACTGTGTTTGTAATAATAAATTAGAATGATTGATATATAGTTTTGGTACATTTCTAAATAGATTGATTACATATCTAATTTATAAGTGATCAATTACATTTAAAAAAATTGAATACCATTACTGGTAATACATATTCAATAATAAAATCATATATGACAATATATGATGTAAATATTATTATTGTTTCATAAGTTAACTGTTTCTACTGAAGAATTTTAAACTAGAGGATTACTGACTCAGTCGAGTTAGTCCATGGCACATCTGGGAGTCTTAAGTTTATTTTTGCCAACAGCAATGCATAACTAAATCAAACTTGATACCTCTGATTGAGCATTCCAGCATAGTTTAAAATTCTAATATTCTCATCATCTGAGATGCAAAAGAAAAAAATAATACAAATCCATAATTTGCAATGAGTATATGAACATGTATTAATAAACATTCCTATGGATTGTTTTTTTATCTAATTTTTATACAATCCCTATTGTAATTGAAACACGAAAATTTTTTATTTTTGTTTAAAATTAATGTAAATTTAAAATCATAAGTTTTAATACAAATCACATGTTTAACATCTTATTTCACTTACTTTAAAAATTGTTATCAAGCCAAACGTTATTTTGATTATTAAATATATGCACGATACTATTATTTCGCGACAGTGTCAGGATAATGTTTGACCATTGGAAATATTCACTAGTTAAAAGATAAAAACCAATACATGAAATATTCTAGTAGGTCAAACTAACCTCGAACAGCTAGAATAAAAATTTTAAATAAAATCAATTTCATAAGCTTAGTATCATGAAAACCAAAACAACGGTTGCATGAAAATTATTAAACACAATAGTAATATTACATATCTAATTTTATATGAAATTATTTGATATACAAAGCTGATGAATCCTAATTTAAGGATTATGTTTGAGCTGTTTTGACTAGATATTAGCAGGATAAAGAGGGATAATCCCCCTCGATCCCAAATCATTGAGGCCAATTTCTAGCCATAGAATAATGGCGCGCGACTAGATATTAATTAAAGTTAATAATCCATCACATAATATAAATAAGAGCAGGCATTTTTTTCATTTACTTATTACTGAATAATCATTTTGGATATTTTGCAATGAGAAGGAATATTTATGATATGAAGACATTTTATTGTATTTTCAACTTAACTCAAATGCTCCACAGGTGCCATCTTCGTCATGCACAGGACATTACAATAAAATAAAATGTAAGAAGTGCTAGATTAATAATTAAATACTAAGTATAATTCTTAAAAGAGAGAGCTCAACTTGCATTGAAAAGTTTGTTATACCTCAACCGATACCATCTTTTCCTCAGATTATGTGAAATATTAAACTTTGTTATGAAAAAAATTATTTTTCTCTTGAAGAAATAATATGTAATATGCTCTATTTTGGAAATATGAATAACTCAATTTTGTTAGTTATTTACGTGTAAAGGGCATAAGCATCATTCCTGTGGTATGTATGCAAATATGGATTTTTTTCTATGAAAGAATTTATACAGGGTGTTTTCATAAATGAAGTACCGCAATATCTGATAGTTGTTAAATTTGACATCCAGGGGTAAAAAGACATGACTGATCTGATCTGACACTTATTTTTTTTAACTGGACACCATGCATATTTTTGTTTGGATAGAAACCTTTTTTATGATCACAGTGATATAAAGAGTGCCATAAGTGTAACATAGCAGAACAATACGGACCATTTCTGCCTATATCAAGCCCCAACCTTTTTGGAAGTAGCTTTGTTTATACTAAGACAACTTAATTATTAAAAATTTTCGTCTTATTGCAATAGCAATTATACCTAATGTCGCAGCTCTTTTTAATCCATTTTGTTAGTTTTTATTCGTTCTAATAACAACTGCAGGTGGCAGAACGAAAACAGAATAAGTTTCCAAAATGTTAACTTGCTTCCTGTTTATTTAATTTTCTCAGGGTATACAAGGTGTCGCGCTTAAATGTGATACAAGCCTGTAGCTTCTTTATTTTTTGACCGATTCCTCATGATGTTCCCTAACATTTAGTATATAGTATCAGAAAATTTTTGTGTTTTTTCTGAAAAAAAAGGTGTCGTTGCTTGCTATCTACAGTCACCATTTTGAATCCAAATCGTTTTGAAAAACACAATATTACCTGAAAACATGTACAATAAAGCCATTGTGTTCATAACACTATATGTTGTTATCGTATCGATTTATTTTTGAGAATTCACGAAAATCACCTTTTTTTCCATTTTCTAGACTGGCGTTACCCTTTAACTCTTAGAGCAAATACTACTGGAGGCAGCGTCCCAGTGGCCGAGAGGTATAGGAGTGTATATGCTATCTCTGTTTTTTTTTTGGAAAGTGTTACAAATAAATCAGCATGTGAATATATATAAAGTACAATTATTTCATATAAATAATTAATAAGCTACTGAGCTAGAAAGATACTTCGATTTCAAAGTTCGACTGAAGCAATATGTCACTTGTTCAGAAATTTATTTCTTTAAGGAAAATGTCCGCATGGTACTTATGCATGAAACATTAAAACTAAATAAAAAAAAACTGAACGTGACATGTTTCATTTGTAAAAACCAGTTTATTGCATTTTATACACAAAATCTTAGGCCGTTTAACTTTCTTAAATGGACTTATCCAATTATCCAAGGAATTATCCGATATGGCCAAACAAATCATAAAATAAAGCTAAAGTTTGTATGATGTATGTAATATGTTTTGAATTCATATTTCCAAAACTAAAGTGGAATAGGTTACAAAATTTTTTCTTCAAAAGCAAAAATTAAAAACTGAAATGAACCATTAGAATTATTAATACCTACTTTCATTGTAAAGGCTTACATTAAATTAAATATATTCCCCGGAATACAAAAAAAATTGCAGACCATTCTGGTGGCCATAACAAAGGACGGTTTCTCAAAACACCCGAGTCCTTCCGAAAGTACCGATAACACGATTCAGTTACTTTTTATTTAACAAGATTAATACTACTCGTCACAATTAATTAGTTCCACACAGATTGATTATGTAATTAAACAAATTTCTAAATGGCAAAGTGGATAATTCATAATTTTATTACAATTTGTGAGCTAATAATACATCAAAGTTTAAATTGCACCCTTAAAATGCAGATGATTATTATAATTAATATCCCTAACTATATTAATGTGCCTTGTCTACATGTGCATATATGTTTTGTATTTAATTCACAAAGCGTATTACAGTTATTAATATTATTATTTAATACCATCATTACATTATTATAATAACTATCACAATATCTTATTCAATATAGACTAGATAACAAAATAAGACCTTAGATATAAAATTATTTTAAAATAATTTAGGTAAAAGTTAATAAATTAGTAAAAATAACAATTATATACAAACTGCCTACTAAACTGTCTACCATAGAAAAATATAGCTAAAAGGTAATTAATATCGACTACACAACCTGAAGCTGAAATTAATTTTAAAAAAATCATTTTGTAAGCTTACACGAACTGCAATAATACAGTATTAGATGGCCATGCTCCTATAAGAGATGTATAAACGTCAACACACTTCTTACTAAGCGGGTCAGTTTCTGGAATTGTAGTTAAAGGAAAACTGTCCCCCTATAAAAGATAAAGCCTAAATAAGAACCTTACATATCCTTTTTACAAACAGCGTCACCAATAATCAATCATTGGAAATTTTGATTATTTGAAAAACAATTAGGCGATTTTGACATTTAAGAAATGCAGAAAGTGGTATTATTTCTCAAAATTTTAAAAAATGTTATTTTACAATTTTGAATGTCCTATATAAATTTTTGCCTTCTTCAAGGTATATCCACAAAGTAAGAGTACTGAGACTCTGGTGCTGTGGTTTTTGTTTTCGACAAAGTCGAGTACCCGCGCTCATTTGTCTCGGTCAGTTGATAATAGTTGTAGTGGCGTGTTGAAATTAGTGCCCCTATTCTGAATCCCGCCAGCTGTGAGATAAGAAGTGTAATGTGGTTTCTTTTTACAAAGGCCCATTCCAGATTTTTAACAAAATCAAAACTGATTATGGGAATGGTGTGATGAATCATACTAATGTGTAAAAGTGGTGTCGTGAGTATTATTGCTTCGTGGCGACCATCGACTTTGAACAAGACGAAATCAGTATTTCCACAAATCTGCAGATCTCTACTGCATGAAACACTTGATTATCGAACATTGTGTGTGAGGTGAGTATCAAATCAGCTCATGCCTCAACACAAAGCCAACAGAATTTATCTTCATGGAAATTTTTCGAGTGCTTGGAACTGAAAAATGAATAACTCCTTGACTGGCCCACTACACCCCTGAGACAAAACACAAACAATGAAGTGCTGACATCCGTCTTCACTATCAGCGAAAAGATTGAGAACTGTTTTTTTTTTGTCCGAAAAATCATGGGAACTGTGTTTTGGGACCGTAAAGGAATTCTCTTCATTGACTTTTTACCCTAGTGGAAAACAATTAATGCTGTGCGATATTGTGAAACACGACGGAGGGCGATACAGAACAAAAGGGAAATGTTAACGAAGAGAGTGTGCAACAAGACAATGTACGTCCCCACATACGTAATACCACAAAGCAAGCTTTTGGATTCATTCTGTTGGAACATCATCAGCCCCCCCGCTCACAGCCCTGCCTGGCACTTTCAGATTTTCATCTTTTCTCTTCTCTGAAGGTCTTTATGGGTCACCTCTCGGCTCACAAAATGCATTGAGGTTGAAGGCGACTACGTCAAAAAATACTGTTTGATGTACCTTTCTGAATATTAAATTTTTTATATACTGCCGTTTCGATTTTTAAAAAATTAAGTACTCTTACTTTATGAATATGCCTCATAGTATGTAGTACTTTTACTGCTATTAGTAACATACTTTATCACCATTTTTTACACTTAAAATAATTTGCTACGTCTGGAATCTTGAGTTTTTCTTTATTAAGAAAAATACTCTTATAATTCAGATTACAAATTACAAAAATGTTTTGTTTCCATTTCATTTTCAGTAAAAATGATCTATTAACCAATATTAATTATAAAATCTGCTAACACTATATTACCTATTTTATATTATTTACACGTACAAGATGACTCGCAAGTGTCGTCATCAACATGCATATTTTTAACAGAAATTGCCTGTATTTTGATACATTCTTTTATCATCAACTCTGAGTTGCTATACACGCAAACCATTTTTGACACTAACTACCCATTTTTGACACTAACTACTAAAAAAATATTGTGAACACCACAGATAACAGGTAAATACTGTTGCAACGACAATTGCAAAATACGATTTCAGTATTCGGAGTCGCTGAGGTCATGTGGCTCTCCACGCGCATTGCAAATGACGCTAGAGACTCCAGTTGTCCAGCTATGTAGTCATTGAATGTACTATAACTTCAATAATTTTTTTCTCAGAAACTATAAGGATTTTACAAAAAATTTTTTTACGATATTGACTCCATTTCTCATGCCGCATCTATTCCCAATTTTTTTTGGATAAGTTCTGAATCACCCTGTATACTTCACTCATTATAAATGTGGAAGGTATTTATCATGGCCGAAGTTCTGATTGGCTTCTGCTAATTGCAAAAATTATCCTTTTCATAAAATTTCTTTTTTATTTTATGGTCACACTGTACATAGGCAAGTTGTACAAAATATTTTATGGAAGGAGAAAATAATACAGGTCTTATTTAACATTTTCACTGGTGTTTCTTTACAAACTAAAAGATGTATTTCAATCAGCCTTAGATCTTTGGACCTGCCATAAAATTATTTTTTATGACCGCACTTGTAAATAGCGCAAAGAAAAAATAAACATTGCAGATTTGGATAACCACTATTAAATTCCAATAACCAAATTGTTCGGTATCTTTTGGCTTAAGTAGAAGTTGCCCTACAAATAACTGTCTCTTGAAAAACAATTCAGTCATTTTCATCAATAAAAAAAATTGCATTTTGGGGATAACAAATAAAAAAATCTTTGTGTATTTTTAGAAATTAATTTGCCTACATTTTTAGATTATTTGTCATTTAATTGGATATTTTATCATGGCATAATCAGCTAGATCAGGAGTCGGCAAGTAATTTTAGGTGGGGTCCGGATAATTTTGAAAATTTTTAACGAGGTCCAGAAAAATTATTCACATTTCTTATTTTTTATTTTAATTTGGACTCAAATTTAATCTGCTTACTAACCATTAAGAACTCAAAACACAAACAATTGTAAAATACTAGAAAAAATTATAAGATTGGCACTTAAACGTAAAAAACATTTTTTAAATAATTTATTTGAGTAATTTATACTTTAAAAAAATTTTTGGCGGTCCAGTATTTTACCTTCCGCGGTCCGGTCCTGGACCGCAGAGCTAGGTCATGTACTACTGGTTTGTTAAATCAGCGAAATTCTCTAAAAGGATTCTATGATTGTTAACTTTGTTCCCATGACAAACCTGTAGTGTGGCGACTCCACTGTTATTTTCTGGAAGCACAAATCTTAGCTAGTAAATGTCAGTATGTCATATTTCATTGTAATATACTAAAATTATTCACATTTCAAAGGTATACATCTAATTTGGTTTATAAAAAATGTATGTATTTTCGAGAAAAAGTACATAGATTTAAATAGTAGAAATACTATATTAAAACCTTAAAAGATACATTTATATCAACACAGTACACAGAAAGTAATTCTATCTACGTTTTTTTGTGTATAATAACATTTGTGAAAAAATTGTGCTCCAACACAATGCAGTATAATTTTAAGATTTTTAATAAATTTTTTAATTTATAGATTTAAAAATAATATGTAAACATAAACATTCACTTTCTAAGAAACGCCAGTATACCTACTGATTTAAGCAATTGCAATAAAAAAATAAAATACAGGGCATACAGGGAAAGAAAACAAAAGATTATATTTTCCTATGGACATAGGATCTTTTGTTATTGAGATAGAGAGCGTTAAAAATAATTTTCTTAAATCAAATTTTTGCTATCTTTTTCAAAAAACTATACAGGCTGTTATAAATTCGCTTCTCACTACAGAGATCTTGGAAACGGTAAGAGATATGAACTAGCTTAAATGGGAGCAATGTTGCATAATTAGGGGCCAACATTATGCCTCTAAAAAATCAAGGCTAACATGATTAGTTTTCGAAATATTTGGAAAAAACCCAAATTTTGGAAATCCGCTTTTGTTTCATTTCAGTTTGAGGTGATATTGAAAAAAGAAGAACACTGTCATGGGAGCTTTTTGCCCTCTATCGAATATCATAATCAATGTTTATATGTAACATTTTGTCTCTCCAGGACCATCATCAACTTCATTTTTTTAAATACGACCTAGAAATATTATTACATTTTTTGCAAACCTTCATAACACCCAATACTGTACTGCCTCAGTCCAAACCAGATTCAGACGTTTTGTCTCAAAAAATTCATCTTCAATGTATTCGTTCCAAATTTATCAAAAATTTTTATTTAGATTTCTATGTTTATTTATTTATGTACACTTTAAGTGTCATTAGACCTTTTAATTCATCTAATTATTTAAACTATTACCACCACAAGTTAACAATAAAACATTATTAGAGTTTTAATCCCATACTCATAATTATTTATAGATTTTTCGTATGCTCAAAATTCAACATGCTCTTTCACAGTTGCTGTTACAAGTGTAATAAATTCCGATCATTATCTTCATTTTCAACATTTGCCAAAACACACGTTTTTGAACATTTAATGTAATTTTTTAAAGTTCATTCATTTGGAGTTTTGGTCGTTCATATGCATTTTTAAAAATTAATGTCACAATGAAATTAAAATTGGAATAATGTGTTAATTTTGACGCAACAGTTTATCGAATTATGTATAACCAGGTGGTGGAGATTAAACTCTAATGTTTTATTGCAACAGGTGATGATAATAGTTTAAATAACTACGTGGATTTCACAGGGTCTAACGATAAGTATAAAAAATTTGATTTTGAAACGAATACATTGAAGATGAATTTTTCGAGACAAAATGTCAGAATATGGTTCGGACTGAGGCAGTACAGTACTGGGGGGTCATGAAAACTTGCAAAAAATGTAACAAAGGGTCGTATTTAAAAAAAAATTAAGTTGATAGTCCTGGAGAGACGAAATGTTACATATAAAAATAGATTATACCATTCAAAAAGTTGCCATGAGAAAGTGTTCGTCTTTTTTTAATATCACCTCAAACAAATGAAACAAAAACGGTTATCCAAAATTTCGGTTTTTTCAAATATTTCGAAAACTAATCATGTTAGCCTTGATTTTTTAGAGGTATAATGTTGGTCCTCTGATTATGCAACTTTGCCCGCAAATGGGGGCTTAAATAAGCTTCTTCATATCTCTTACCGTTTCCAAGATCCCTATAGCAAGAAGCGAATTTGTAGCAGCCTGTATAATGCAATAAAATTTGGTTTTACGTATGTTAAATATGTCAGTGTTACTATGACATTTTAGAGCATACCTTTTTTTGTGGTTATGTTTTTTACAGTGTGCGTGTGTTATATAATGTAAAATTTCATTTTACACAAAGAATGTAGTTTTGTAAATATCACTAAAAACAATCCATTAAAAAAAAACAATTGACTGCCTCAAAGTTAACTCCATAAAATAGGTGTCCCAATACAAATGTGCCATACTTCGAGGCTAGTGTGGATGAAGATAAACCAATTTATATAAAATTACCTTAGTATTGATTGACCTTTTAAAAAGTTATGTCAGTATCAGTTAAAGTGGAATAAAAAATTTTTTTTAACGGCCGACAACTTTTTAAGGAAGCAAATTATACGAAGGTAATTTAATCTAAATCCGTTTGTTTTCATCCCAGGAAGCTCTTATTGGACCGTTTAAAACTTGATTTTAAAAAATCGTCCGTAACCTGTATCTCAAAGCAAAAGACCATAGACCCACCAAAAAGTCGTCATATTTTGTGATATTCTATCAACTTCTCAATTCTTGTATTTTCGTTAATGCTCAATTAATTGTTTAAAACTGTACTGTTTTTTTAAAACCACATAAGTTTATTCAGTTCAGGTCAAATTGGAAGGCACATGACAATTTAGTTGTAATCCTTTGAAAGTATTTATTTAACTGTGCAAAATGGTTAAAAAAATATACATATGTATGAATATCAAGACCGAGAACCAAAATTGTCAATATCTGACAAATAGTTTTTTACTAAGCAAGCGAATAGGAAATATATTGTTCAAAATTTAATTATCCATGTGATACACACAATTTTTTTATTTCGAAGATCAAAACGTCTATTTACACAATAACGCCATATACTAGTATGAAAAAAAATATTTGAATGCCGAGTCAAACCTTTTACTGTCCTCATATAGCTAATACCAATTTAAGATATGTCTTTTAATGACTAAGGTAATACCAGTGACAATGTTAAAAGACACACCTATAGCTGCAGTATGTAATAAATAAATGTTCACTTACATTTTCATTGTTATACTCCCACAAATTTTCCAAAGTAGATAGGAAGTTTTCAAGTTCTGCGTTAGTTGAGAAATATAATATCCAATCTCCAGTATACTCGTGAACTTCTCTACATGCAAACTCCTTAAAATATGATAACAGATATAAAAAATAATATAAATATCACACAAGACATCTTTTACCAGAACACACCAACTCTGCTCTGCCGAAGGAAGTCGAAAAGATGTTAAGTCTATTATTGAGGCACAAGACAAGGCTTGAGTTCCTTTAATAGGATCGTGCTGACTTTTAGTTGGTAATAAAGAGGTAATCATACATGGAAATGCTTCTCTTACTGTAAGAATGTGATCACTTGTCATTAATAGCGAGCATGACTGAGTTGGATTTTTGTCTCGATGGCTGTATGTCTGAAATCATAAATAAGAATATAATCATATGTTCTGTTTTGTAAGATAAAATCCTGCTTTGCAATAGACGAAGTAGAGGATGAACCAACAGGAGACAGTAGACATAATAATAATTCTCATAAACTACTTACGCCACTAGCCGCATGTACTAATTCCTGCAGCCACTCGCTGGCAACATATTCATCAGGAGCTGCCAATAATAAGCTCTTTCCTTCCACTATTAATTGAAAAGTATGTGGCCTGTGGCTGTTAAAAATCCTTCTGGCTCCATGGCAAGACCCATTTATTAAAGGAAAAACCCTCAAAGGCACTCTTTGAGATGCTGAAGAGAGCATATATAAAACACCAGCCCTACAAATAACAAAATGGTCCAATTTTCGAAGGTGAGTGGTTATCATAGTTTTCCTAATGTAGAAGCGGTGTACCATCTATTTATTTTTCGTAAAACCTCAACTTTTGTTTGAACAACACTAATAAACAAACTTAATGAACAAGAAATTCATTCAAAATTAATTTACTTAAAATGTTTATCAAAACTGAAAATATTTACATAAATATTTCATAATACTAATTTTTTTCCTTAAATAAAAGGTATGCTGTTGCCTCGGTTGGCAACACATCTACCGACACAAACAAGATTTTATAAATTTGGTAAAATTTTTTTTTACTTACTTCAAAATAAAATATGCAGTCTCCCAACGAGATGACTCAGACTCGGAGGTCTTAAACATTAAAGGACCTTCTTTAGTAGGTCCTAAGGGAGTAGGTTCCATGTCAGAATTGAAATCTTGTATATTAACAATACTGTAATAGAAATATTCCTCATCCTGAAACAAAAGTAAAAAGGTCTTTCTGTATATTTTTGAGTAAAATCGATTGGCAGGCATATTTTTAATAACTTTTATAAATAATTCTGTCACTCTTAATTTATATTTTTCAATTTTTGGAATATTCGTTAAAGGACCCCACACTAATCTTATGGATTTTGGCCTCTGGTGAATTTCTCTGTAACTTTGGGAAAAGATAGGTTTCGACCTACTGATCAAATATCTCCATGGGCACATAGCCCAAAAATCACTCCTATGGGCCCTACCGGGGGATTTTAGCCCAAAAATGATGGGGCGCGAGGAGATGACACATTGCTCAAGAAACCAGTTCCGTCGCCGGGGAGAAAGTTGAAAATGGATTTTTGGGGCTAAAATTGTCCTCTCTTTCATATTCTGGGATCAGTTCATGGCTGCTGACCTCCTAAATACCCGAAAATGGAGTGCGAATGGGGTAAAAACGTGAATAATAAGACATACTATAAAAATGAATGTGGACCTCGCAAGTTGCGCCTGAAAGTTGACAACATTGTGGATTTCATATTATATAGTCCAACGGGAGTTTCGGAATCTCAAATCCACAATATTGTCAACTTTCAGGCGCAACTTGCGAGGTCCGCATTCGTTTTTATAGTATGTCTTATTATTCACGTTTTTACGCTTTTCGCACTCCATTTTCGGGTATTTAGGAGATCAGCACCCATGAACTGATCCCAGAATATGAAAGAGAGAACAATTTTAGCCCCAAAAATCCATTTTCAGCCTTCTCCCCGGCGACGGAACTGGTTTCTTGAGCGATGTGTCATCTCCTCGCGCCCCATCATTTTTGGGTTAAAATCCCCCGGTAGGGCCCATAGGAGTGATTTTTGGGCTTTGTGCCCACGAAGATATTTGATCAGTAGGTCGAAACCTATCTTTTCCCAAAGTTACAGAGAAATTCACCGGGGGCCAAAATCCATAAGATTAGTGCGGGGTCCTTTCTTTTCAAATGATATAATTATCATGTTATATTTCCACAAAAATTTTATAAATATAATTTAGTTTGCTATGTATTTTTTATCAGTTCAGAGTGTTAGGGAAAAAACTTTCATAAATTTAACAGTTGCTGCTTTGTATCATTTTATATTAACCAAAAGAGTTCATTACACACAATATATCCAAAATTTAACCCTTGTAATGAACTTGTTTCAGTTTCCAGTTTTATGCAAGGCTTTTGTCATTTATTTTCCTTAATTAATTCCATTTTTTAAAAGCAATCATCCTCGTGCCAATGAAAACCGTCTGTTTGCACAACTCTGACAAGTGCCGCACGCACGATCCCACCATGGCTCCTGTTAATCAGGAGGGGATCGAGGTAACAAAACCGTGTTTCCTGGACAAAAATCCTTAGTTCGTTGCCAGAACTTGAAGATCTCCAGAACCACTGTGAGGACCCCATCAAAGACCTACAACCGCCATCCAAACCCAAGAAATTAGCAGTCGAGAGCAATCTTCCGGAATAAGTAAGCAAATTGTATTTTCCTATGTTCGCTTGTCCTGCTATGGTATAAGTCTGGCCGAATTTGAACTCTGGCAAGACAATGTGACCACAGTGTTGTTGGCGACGGTTTGGCTGGGTAACTTACCGCCTTCGTTCAACTACCATTGTAAGGCCCTTTGACTGAAACTGCTGATTTGGCTGGATATCCCACTGCCAGTGATTGACGTTAAGGTGTTGGACTGTACGGCAGAGGCGTCGTCGGCGACGGTTTGGCTGGGCATCCCACCGCCTTCCTTCGATAAACGCTGTAAGGCACACTAACTAAAACTGCCGGTTTGGATTGGTATCACACCGTCAGTGGAAGACGTTGAGTGTTGGCCCGGCAATGACAGATAGACCCTCAAAGTTTGGCTGGTTGCCCCACCGCTTCCAGGAGAAATTTGTCACTCACCGTGTGACCGAACGTGCACCTTGAACAGACTTTGCCTTTCGTCAACCAAACTATTCCTTCTCTTGATTACCATTTGATTATTTATGCTATTTGTGTATTGCATTGCTTCGCTTTTTCCTTGGCTGGTATTAACTCCGTTTAATTTCCGGTGCTTTGATAGAAACCGCTGGATTTACTTGCGTAGATTTAGAATAACACCTAATTACTATTTTCATTTACAGAGACATTTGGGAGCAGGTATATATTTGTTGACTATTAACTACACCGATTTGTTAAACATTGTTTATTTCTAGTATTGACCGAAATTAAAACTGAAAACTGTTTATGGCGTACTGATTTTTGAGTATTAGATTGTTTATTGTAAAATAAACCTAACGTCTAATACTGCATTTGTTTCCCGTACCGATTTTGTGTCTTGCCTACCGATATTTGATTATACTAATTTTGTATTTATTTACAGCACCCAATATTCCATATAGGTATATTTTTCTTTTATATTGAAAATGAAATTAATTAATTCCAAGGTAAATAATTGCTTAATTAGGGCAATAGATAAACATCTCCTTAGCACCTGTTGTAGATTATTTTTGAATTTATGTATGTTAGTTGTTTACAATAATTTTAATAAGAAGCCATTTTACTTTGATTGTTTCAATTTCTGTAGGCCTTAGTAATATAAAATAAATCTAGTAAATATATTTCCAGTTGTATTCATTTTTAACGCCGATAAGATTGATAAAATTCCGATCAGTAAAAAGTCTTACTATCTCTTTGCGATATAAGTCTGTTAATTTAAAAAGTAAAATAACACTTCACTTAGAGAACTACTTTGGGTTATAGGTAAAGTAAGAGAAATAGAACAGACCCCTGGAATTAAACTTTCTTCACTGTAAGGTTCACGTGGAGTTTCCTTCACGTAAAAGATAGGGAAACTGGCGCCCGAGACTAACCGAACAAAAAGAATATAATACGGAGTACGTTCCTGTGACATCACTCACCACTACTGGCTTTCGAACACCACTGCCGATAAAATAGTAGTCAAGGGTCATCACGAAATTAGGCGCCCAAGCAGGGACGTAAGAGATGCCTATAAATATTGTAAATTGTAATTCAAATTGCGAATCAACATTCCATTTAGAGTTGGTAATCCACCACTGAGGGCGTCCGTGTACCATGAAACCGTACGTTCGTTACACCATTTTGAAGAAAAACAATTATACGGTTGTAAAGATGTATTTTAATTATAATTTTAATTTAAAATATATTGTTTATTAAATTAAATAGTTTATCTTATTTAAAAGAATTGAATTTTCATTTAGGTAGGAAGATTCCTGGCAAACACCCAATTAACAAAAGTAAAGTGCCAAAAAGTAGTACCTTACAGTGGGTGGTGTGGAAAATCACTTTTTAATAACCTTTTTTTAAATTATGAGATTTGACAACAATGCATCGCCCATTTCCAATTGTACATGCACTGCGACTAAGGCGGGCCATTGTTTGAGGTCAAGTTTTTATGACAGAATTTGAAAAAAATAAATAATTGGTGCATGTTCCTAAAGGTCAAAGGTATCCTCCATATAAATATGATCCCCATTCAAAGTTACACCCTGTATATTAGCGATATTTATCAATATTTCGAAAGATCAAAGTACAGACCCACAGACCGACACAAATAAGTTTATATCCGAGATAGCCACGTTCACAAATGCACTATGGATATGGCAAGGAAAACATTTTCTAAAACTTCGCAATTTTCGAAAAGGACAAATAAAAAGTTAAAGGAGCAGTCACGAGAAGTGGTAGAAAATGTGATACATTATACACAGTGTAAATCTGATCTAAATCAACCTGTCATGGAATTTAAACAGGTACAAATGCGAGCTACTCTTACGATGGAAGTAAGCAAAAGGAACATTCAAAAGATTACGAAGGAAATTGATGCTATTATGAATGGTAAATAGTCAAGTTTTTTAACACCAAATAAGAACTGGTGAAAGTGAGCTCACAAGACCGACTTAGATAACTTTTATATGGTTCTCTTTCGACATACTGTCATCAATTTTTACGCAGTAAAGAAAATGATGGCCACCATTAAAAGGATTGTACTTATTATACTTTTATATTGTATTATTTTATATTATACTTTATATATTTTTTACGATCTCTAGTTTTTTTATACAATTAATGATATGGTTACATTTACCTTGTCATATTACACCTTCAAATATTCTTTTAGTAAACTGGTTTTTAGTATCACTTAAAACCTTTTAAAGTAGTTCTTAATTTTAAATCCCTTTTAAATTTAATATATATTTCTAATTTTTAATAGCTCTAAATAGGTTTGGATAATACAGTAAGACCCCGCTTAACGCTGTTGCGTTTAGCGCTGTTTCGGTTTAGCGCTCTTTTATTTCAACCCGGGGATTTCCCGAAATTGCTCGCCGCACTACGGGGATTCCCCGAAATTGTGCGCAGCGTTAGGTTTCCAAATATGTATGTACATAACCTATCCGAAACAGTGTAGTTGTGTTTCTTGTTTGGTGCGGTGCTGTACGAACGCATTTTCATCAGTTGATATAACTATAACTGAAATTATGGACCAATTTGTTGAAAATGATCCAAATTTTGACAGGAGTTCAAAAGCAAGACGGGGTGTTATAGATGCTTTATCCACTTATCAACAACTTCTAACAGAACGCAAAAGGAAAACGCAAACTACATTAGATGCCTTCCTGACAAAAAGGCAGAAAATTGGAAACACAGAATAGACTGAATGATCTGACTGACTTAGAATTTTATTTGTTTTTATAAGTAATATTCGTTTATATTGTTTTTATTTTTGTAAGAAATAAATGTTTGGTTTTATTTTTATTAAAAAAAAACAATTATTAAATTTAATACCTAACCAATTTTCTATCCATCTTCCCCTAACCCCATTATTTACATGTTAAGATAGCCTCGTTTAGCGCTGTTTCGCATTACGCTCTACTTTGATGGAACGTATCCTACGCGTTAAGCGGGGTATTACTGTATATTCATAATATGTATTAAAACGATCCTGGACAAAGCTCCAGGTTGCCACTATCCCTAATCGCCACACCTACGTCTTATTCCTTCTAGACGTTCTTTTTAGTTCAAATATCAAACAAAATATATAAATAACAACCTACCTTTTCAACAGAAGTTTGTTTACATATGGCACGTCTCAAATTAACCATATCTCTCATACTAAGCTGCTTAACTGCTGGTAATCTAGGTTTATTCATGTCCCTCCTCATAGCTATTTCCAGCTGTCCCACAAGATCACCCGTTACATTGCAGCATCCAGTGCTAATAATGCACTGCATGTCTTTATCGTAATTTGATAAGTGAATTGTCTGTGCATTAGGTCCAATTAATACAGTGTTAAGTTCCGTGTATGGTAAAACAAAGTGATTGCAGTAAGTACTGTTGGGTTTCATTCCCGCAATGTACAGGGTGCTATCTGTTAAGATAACTAGAAGGGGTTTAGTATCTCCATTTGTAGTATATGCACTTCGAACCGGAAAGACCTAAGAATGAACTTTTCAGAAAGCAATTCATACTGCAATAACAAGTCAAAGAATTCACAATGATATGCGAGGTGTCTCAATAATCAAAGTACAAAAAATTATCAGATCCTTGGGGTCAAAATAAGACGATGTTATTAAACTTATCTGGTCAAATAGACGCTTTGTGTGATTTAAATTAAATTTTTCTAGTACTCGTTTAAAAATATATACAAAAAATTATTCTAAAGCTTTTGACTCCAGAAAAAAAAGCAGAGGGGGTTGCATGGTGCTGCTGAAGAGGGTGATGATTTTCTCCACTGGTACATCACAGGCGATGAGTCTTGGTTTTATGGATTTGATGTTGATCTCAAATCTCAAAGAGACAAGCTGGAGAGCCAAGGATCAAAAAGTTAATGTCAAATGTTAGGAAAATGTTGATTATTTTTTTTTCAATTCTCAGGACATCATCCACCATCCATTCGTCCCACCTGGCCAGACAGCCAAAGGAACCTTCTACTTTATCAGTTCTCAGACGTCTGTCAGCTCATATGGCTTCAAGTGGATTTGTTACATGGAGGGCAGTGGGTTCTCCACCAACAATACCCCTGCCCACATGACATGTGGACAGGAGAGCCACTTGGCAAAAAAAATATGGGTCCCCTAAATTTGTTTAAAGAATCTGTGACCAAATTTTGTTGCATGAATTTCGGGACACCTGGTATTGATAATATTGAATAATGAATTTAATTTTATGTTTTGCATGATGTAAAATATTTTTAAATTATTTATTAATAATTATAGTGAGGAAAATTTTCATTATTCTCATTCTAGTGAAAATGTTGAGTATTTCCCAAAACAGTGTTCCATATTTATCTATGTTTGAAAAGTCAATATTTTAAAATACAAATTAAAGTGAGGGATGCTGCTTGTACAGCATGAAACAGAATTACTTTGAACAGAAGCAAGTTTAGTTAAATTATTTTAATTTTAACCCTAAGAATTTGTGACAGCTTCATGTATACATAATATTGAGACACCCTGTATATTGAAGTACATCAAGGATATAATTTACAATCTTACCTTTATGAGTTTCTCAAGCCTACTCCTAAAAAGCTCTTTTCTAAACTGAATAATCATTTTTTTATCCAACAAATTTTCACAGTTCTGTCTTTTCTCTTGTCCCAATGCAATTTCTTTTTCTAATTCTTTGTCCAAATCATCATTTACCTTATTGGACTTTATGCCCTTTATGTACAAACTCATTAATCTTCTTGAGCTCTTTTCCTTATTTTGAACCTTGACATCAATCATTTTCTTCAATGTAACATTTCTCAAAAACCTGCTTATCAATGAGGTTTTTGAAGTGGATGGCCTTAAAGAAGGTAATGACCTAGCTGTATCAGAGTCTTCACTTCTATTTTCTGAGAGAGGTACCTTGAATGACTGACTTACTGAATAGTGGTTATTCCTCTTCACTTTTCTTTTAGGCGAACTCAAATGCCTAGGATTCTGTGGTTCGGAGAAATCGGATATAGTTTCGTTATCAGACCAATCCACTTTAGTAGTAGAGGAATATTTATTTGAATTATTTTTTGTCGACGGCTTCGAGTCTTTAAATTCCGGCTCTTGAACTTCTTCGATCTTATCATCATTTTTAGTTGGGGTGGAGGTATTATTTATTGCTTCAAAATCCTCCTCACCCTCTACTTCGGGCTCATCTTTAGCCCTTCTACGAAAAAAATTCAGTTCCTTTAAGATCATCTGGTAAACGGTTGAGCTTTTTGGTTTATTTTCTTTCTCAAAATTTTTTTGGAAATTATCATACTCGTATGAATAACTAATTCCTGAAATAAAATAAAATTTTATCAGAAACAAAAATTTTTACAAATAGAATTGTTTATTTAACTACTTAATTACGATGAGACATCGAAAATATGATATAGTTGAAAGCCAAATGTTCTAAAAAAAAATTAACTGAGCGAAACTTTCACATATTAAAAAAGTTTTGAAAATACTGATGATATAGATATTAAATTCTTCATTAAGTTAAAATAGTTCCATTTTAATTAAACTAAATAGACAGATATTTGTTATAAAACAAAATTCAAATAGAAAGAGGAAGAATTTTTTTTTAAAATAACAGCTCTTCAAGGACAAAGGTCAAAGAGTGACATTGTTTTTTTAAATGGTAATCTATATTTTTTATTCTGAAATAGTCTGCTCATTATTTTAGACAGCTTTCATTTGAACATTTGTTTTAAAACTGAGCAGTTGAATTTTTTAACTGTTATGGCCCACAACACTTTTACATTGTTGTTAATTTGAAACATTATTAAGTATTCAAATGTCTTGCCATTTTTTTTATTGCAAGTGTGATCCCTTTCCAAAAGGTTTGCATTAAGGTTTGTTGTGGAATGTTAGCACAAGCTTTTTCAATACGTTCCCATATTTTGAGTTGGATGTGAGTTTTGGTTTTGATAGAAAACATTATTAACATAGTTCTAATTATAATTAGATAATTATCTAACATTAATATCTGGAAAATATTTGAAGTGGTTCTGCAAAAAATTTATGCAAATTTGATTGTTATGGTGTGTTAAAAGAAAATAGTTCTGTTAAAGAACTATTACAATAGCGCACTAGATATTTAAACTTTACTGAGGCTGACAAATCGATTTCTCAATACCATTGCGAATTTTCAGCAAAATAATAGCAGCTGATATGTCTATAGGGTTGCCAGATTGCCAGCATTCGATTACCGAACACCAGTGGCGGCTCGAGGTATATGAAAATAGGTGGCGCAACCTACAATTAGCTATGTGTGTGTATATGTGTTTTGGGAGTGGGGGGTTCCAGAAGACAGATGCACAAGTAAAACAAATGACTACAGAACAACACTTGCAAGATGCAATCTGTTCACTTATTGAAACTTGTTAATGAAATGGCATGGCAGTTTGTTTAGCCATTTACATAGGGCATAGAGCTACCACCTACAACATCAGCTACTTCAGCTACAAGTTACCAGATGGTGATGGTATCTGATTGTGTACCTATTTACTAGAATTACCGAACAAAGGACTCCACACAAACCTTATGGGAAATGGCTCCTGGTTAAATTGGCTGAATTTTTTATAGGTTACGTTATCTCGGCGTCCTGAACAAATGTCCTTATGGGCACAAAGCCCAAAACTCCACGGATTCCAAGATAAACCCACCTAACCCCTAGAAACCTACAAAACCACAAGCAGACTAACTCACCTAACCCTGGGAACAGAGAGTTTAGTTGATTACTTTTCTTGAAATAATTAAATTCCACACAAGCGGACTAATCCGACTACTCCCAACCCACATAGCTCTTAGAAACCACCCCTAGCAAACCTCAAGAAAAATAAGCGACTAAACTCGCTATTGCAAGGATTACGTGGGTTAACCTGATTGTGGTTTGGCAGGGGTGGTCTCTAGGGATTTGGTGGGTTAGGGGGTAGGCGGATTAGCCCGATTGTGGTGCGGAATTTAATTTAGACAAATAAGGCACTAAACTCGCTGTTCCCAGGGTTACGTGGGTTAGCCTGCCTGTGGTTTGGTAGGTTCTAGGGGTTAGGTGGATTTATCTTGGAACCATGGAGTTTTGGGCTTCACGCCTATAAAGACATTTGTTCAGGACGCCGACATGTGTAACATAAAAAATTCAGCCAATTTAACCGGGAGCCATTTTCCATAAGGTTTCTGCGGGGTTCTTTGTGTTCGGTTTGCCTTTCATTCCGGACGCGAATAATTGAGTTAATTACCGAACAGTCCAAACGAAATGTCTAATATTATGAAGTATCAATTTATCATGACTAAAGAGAGGTCATCACTAAAAAAATCTGCTGTTGATCATTTATTAGGTTATATTGTGTGTTAACCACACATATTAAGCCTGTATCAGACAATGCAATTTTGTTGCACGGATTTGGTTGCCGCGATAGAATCCATGAAATTTTTCTTATCAGACTATGCAATTCTGTCCCGGCAACTGAATTGCATGAATTAGAACATGCTCTATTCCGTGCAACAAAATTGCAGGGATTCTAGTTACTTTTATGAAGATTTGTTTATTACCAACCTAGCTGTTGTTGGCTGTTGATCATGGTTGTTGTTAGTAACACCGTTGAAGCCACTATTAAAGCTATACAGGAATTTACTTTTAAATTTTCATCCATTGCAATGTTTTGCTTGAATAAAAAATAATTGTTTACAAGATACATACAAGAAATTTTACATGTTAAACAATGCATAGTTGGTAACACTACTGCAAATAACTAAACAAATTGCAGCATCTGTCCCATTGTGTGATAATAAACATGCAATTTTATTCTCGCAACAAAATCCCCGCAATTTTGTCGCTGCAACTAAATTGCATTGTCTGATACAGGCTTTAGATTTGCAGGCAAGAAAAGTTAAATAAACCTTCGAAATAATGTTATTTTATAAATAACTCGTCAACTAGATATTGAATAAATATAGACTGCCTTTAAAAAATATCCATTTTATAAAAACACAAAATGCCATACTTTCTTCATCTGATAAATGCTACAACTATTAATTGTAACAATTTTCTATATAAATAATAATTTGCGGCATACGAGTATTAAGTTGTTAATAAAATTAAAATGGGATGCTACAGTAGTATCAATGATCGCTTTGGTTGTGAATTTTTAGGTATATAAAAAATCTTAATAGACTGTTCATATGAACAGAGCAGTTACATTGAGTATAACAGTGCTCAGTTTGTACTTAGTTGAGTTGAAATTTCAATAAAATAAAAACAGTTCAACTTGTTTCTCATCGAAATATTTTTACATACATTTTTGGTCATATAATGACGTATTTCAACATCAAATCTCTTTTCTTCGACAATTCATTGACACAAATGTTAAACTATTTGTAAGAAAAAACCTGCTAAATATACAGAAAAAGAGGTTCTATCTAATTGCTGATATTGTCTACGGTTTTTGGGTAACTTAGTCAGGGTGAAGCACAGTCAACACTTTCATAAATTGACTAGATTGACCAAGTTGATTGACCCTATTTCCAATGGTGCTTTGATAAATGTCATTATGTGTTTGCCATTACATATTTCATTGTTCAAATTGAAATGTACAAATTAAAAACATATTTTTTAACCATAACACCATACACATATTTCAGGGTTCGACATATTATTATTACATATTCCATTATCTAAATTCTTAATTTAGGCATCAATCAAAAGTTAAGTGTTTACAATGTTCAAATTGAAATGTACAAATTAAAAACATATTTTTTAACCATAACACCATACACATATTTCAAGGTTCGTCATATGGGTTTTGTTCTAAAGTGATGGTTGATTACTGTACATTATCAATCTTTCAGATCTAAAAATATGTACCATAAAAAGACACGGTGGTACTTAAACTATCATAATAGGGTAATAATGTAATAAATACAATAATAAAAAAAAATGTGCAATTTGTAAGATCTGAGGGATCTCAATTGAAATGCTCTTTGGATCCTGAAAACCTATATTTCAGAGGAATTAATTTTTCTAAATCACATCCAATGTTAACACCGCCTAGAATTTTTTAATATCCCAGAACTGTGAAATGAACAAGAAAAACATCTTGGTCTTTATTAAAACATTAAAATTATTACTATATTGAATTAAGCCAACATGAATAATTTTAAAAATCACTTCTGTAGCTAATTTAAATCAATAAAATATTTCAGTACAGTTGCACCATACTCATTTTTATAAATACCAAGATATATGCTAACCCAAATATATTTAGGTATTCTAGAGTTATATCCTGTCTAACCAGGAACTTAATTAAATATTTCGACACTTTAATACGAAAACATGCTATCTCAGAATGGAAAACACGCTATCTCAAATTTCGGTTGAAAAACATGCTATCTCAAATTAAGCTTGGAAGACATGCTAGCTCAGATCTTAAATATTCCATACTTTTTGAAAAATATATTATATAAGTTTATTATAAATGCACGGTTTCAATCATTCCAATTTCATACCAATTTAAATTTCTAGTCAAACTAAGATAGCATATTTTTACTTAAAGATCTGAGCTAGCATGTTTTCCAAACTTAATTTGAGATAGCATGTTTTCCAACTGAAAGGACCCCTCACAAATCAAACGGAAACTGGCTTTCGGTGAAATCGTCCGAATTTTGGATATGTTGTTCCTTTCGGTGTCCAGATCAAAACTCTCCATGGGCACGAAGCTCGAAAATCTTCCCTGCGAGCAGTACTCAGCTTGGAAGGTTACAGACCAGTAATCCCCGATTTTTGCTGATTTTACCTCTACCCTTGCATTTTCGGGATATATTATATATATATACAGGGTTCCTAGCGGCCGGGAAAACCGGAAAAACACAGGGAATTTGTTATTCTTCATAAAAAAAACAGGGAATAGTCAGGGAATTTTAAAAATTCACGAGTCAGGGAATTTGATGTTTGCAACTGGAAATTTTGTGAAAGCCGGCCCTGGGTTCTTGAAAGAGAAAACTATTTGTGGATTTGAAACCTTTATAAGAGGTTGTTAGGGTATAAAAAAGATTATGGAATCCAGTTGAGAAAAAATTTAATGCATAAACACCAATTAGTATGTAAAAATGAACTACAAGTGACCTGGATTTTTTTTTGTCAGGGAAAACCTGGAGAAGTTAGGGAATTCTTTATTACTTTTGAACTATGAACCCTGAATATATCTTCATATATATATCCCGAAAATACAAGGGTAGAGGTAAAATCAGAGAAAATCGGGGATTACCCGTCTCTAACCTTCCAAGTTGGGTACTGCTCGTAGGGAAGATTTTCGAGCTTCGTGCCCGTGGAGACTTTTGATCTGGACGCCGAAAGGAACAACATATCCAAAATTCGGCCGATTTCACCGAAAGCCAATTTCCGTTTGATTTGTGAGGGGTCCTTTGAGATGTTTGCATGTTTTCCAACTAAAATCTGAGATAGCATGTTTTCGTACTAAAGCATCGATTTGTTATATCACATCTTACCTTTATGCTCGTAAACATTACTATCACAAAGTATAATATTTGCAGGTAAATTCTGAGGAATATTAGGGTAATTTGGGTAAAACCCTTCACTCTTGGTCAATTTCAAATTAGTTTTTGCCTCAAGAACTTTATTCACTGGAGTAGGTTTTATTTCAATAGTTTCAAAGTTTTTCAGAGAGAGACTCCCAAAAGAACGCCGTCTATTTGTAACATCATATGAGGAAGAGTAGACTGTGACGTCTTCTTGACCTTCGGGAACTCCTCGCTCTGCCAAAGGAACAGAAGTTGAGAAATTTAAAATATTTTTCAAGCTGCCAAAAATATTTGAGTCCAACAAGTTAGCTTCAGATTTTTTCTTCTTCAAATTGTTTTCTTCTTGGACAATGTTGGTGTCAATGTATTTTCTTGTACTTCTCGTCTTTTTCAAACAACTAGATTTTGGTTTGGATTTGAGGCTGGGTTCTTTTCTAACATAATTTTCATCTGAATTTGAATTATCCTCTTCGTCTATAGAACTAGAAATACTAGCTGTCGAGCTGGAAGAAGTAGAAGAATATCTTGGATGATGTATATAAATATCAGATTTTATTTCGCGCTCTGATATATTTTTCTCATAATATGGAGCGTCGCCTTCAGCTGCCCAGCTGTATCTACCTTTAACCACATCTGGTTTCCTTATAAAACCCCTTTGGAAGAAACTCAATGACACATCAGGTTCATGTGTGATAAAACCATGATTAATGTGTATATCATCTATTTTAGTACTATTCAATATATCCTCATGAAAAGAGACACGTTTCTTGGGCGTGTCTGATTTGGACTTTTTCTTTCTTTGACGACGAAATACTATTTGTTCCTCAATTGGTTTTGTATCTTTGTTTTCAGCTTCAGGAACAGTTTCTGGTACAGATAATGGTGGAACAGCTTCTACAGGACAGTTTAAGTTAATTCTTAAATTCTCATTGACTTCTTCTGAAAGACTAACATGCATATCAGTATTTGCTGCATTTAACTTTGTATTCTGTAAAGTATAGTCTAGTAACTCGTAACTATTTAATGAAACATTCATCATTTCAGTTTCTGCATTTTTTATTGGATGTTCCATTTCAAAAACATCGTCACTAAAACTTTTGGATTCCAGATTATGCCCATCCGAAGGGTTTAAGGAAACCTCGAATATCATATCATATTTGTCAAAGTAATTTAGTACAGATGTAGATATATTTTTATAATCATAGTTAGTATTTTGAATACCACAATTGCCTTTAACTGTCATATCTTTATTTTCTTCGAACTGAGTATTATCTTTCTTGGCAGTTGATACTATATTTTCATCAATTTCATCTTTAGTAAATTTTTCTTCTGGACATAAGTCATATATACCATGTTCACAATTGCCGTGTTTACTTGCAAGCTCTCTATTTATTTTATCATGCGAAATTTTCCCTTCTTTTCCACTATCCTCTTTTTCGCCCGTTTCACCAGCATAATCATCATTAATTTTTATATTCTTATGCTCCTGTCTGTCAGTCAGTAGGTTTAGTTTTACATTACTGTTAACATTATCTGATATATTCTCAAAATTTTTTATTACCACATCAGTTTCTGGCAATATATCCGTATCACAACCCAATCCACTTACTGACATAACAGACGTTAACTCACTTTCACTATCCAACATTTGTACTCCAGAGTCCACTGGAGACGAAAGACTTGATACTGTACTTGAAGTCATTTGTGCATCTTGGTAATTTTGACCCTTCTTAAAAGTATCTTCACATATTTTGAATCTAGTTTCAATATCATTATAAATTGTCTCCATATTTCTGAAATATGAAATGGCAACCACTGTAGAAATATTTTTTTTGAACACAAAAATTTAATGCAATTCAGTGTAATAGAATTAATTACTCATGTTTTAATAATTAATATCTGTAACTTTAACTTCGACTGTCTAGAGATAGTTGTTTAAACATTAATAAAAATTTAATGAATTATAAATGAAAATATAAAAAAATAAACACTGCGTATATGAATCACGGTTAACGAAAAAATTTATTTTAAATATTTACCTTACTTTTCCTTATTTAATAATCCGGAAATTTCATATATCCGAAACCGTAATTACAATAAAATCAAATAATGAAAGATATAATTATCACACTCATTCATTGTCATTATTAGGTACATATTTGTCCTTTATTTCAATTCAAGGCGAGCTGGGCATGCGTTTGTCATTTTGACGTTTCAAATTATACATCATTGATTTTTAAGAGCAGTCAGTACCCTATGTATTAATATATTAATAATATTAACTAATAACTTCTGCACTAATAAAAGATTACTAAAATTTTCTAAAACATTATAAATACATACAATGGTTTATTGCAATCAGTATTATACTTAAACGATACCCATTTCAATCTTGAAAAGAGAAACTTTTTTTAGAACGAAATTTAAAAGGTGAGAATGTAGATACTGCGCATGACGACATGGATGTTAAGGCACTTTTACAAGCATGTACACGAAACATTTTTAATGCGTTACATAACTTAATTTGAAATTTGAATTGTATTACTAGTTTGCTATACTTAGAAATATAGCATTTTATGAGAAACCTTATTAGCGCAATATTAAATATTAAGTTACTGAAAACGTCTAAAGATGATATTAGTAATAAACCTTACTCAAACTGCACCTGAGTTTTACTCTTTAAATACTCCAAACAAAAACAACTAGAATACCATTCTCGAGCGAGCGGCCGAACTGAGCGGACGTGTTTATTGTGAAGTGAAGTGCATTGCAACGAGCAAGATCTACCTGCCTTTATTAAGGCTACCTGGAAAGAATCCCTTTCTTTCCTCTTAACCACCGACCTAATCCACGGCTTAAGCATAGAGGCCGTCGGCATCGTTGTTACAGATACCTGTGCCGGGGTTATGCCCAGGTAAGTTTTTACTTTATTTATCAGTTATTTGCATTATTTTAAAATACATTTCTCAAAATTGTGACCTCCGACAAACATTATACCGTACAGACTAATACGCCAAAAGACACGTACGCCCCCGTAAGGGGGCATCCCCACACGACTAAAACCTACACACCCTCTCTCACTCACACACACACACACACACACACACACACACA